ATTAAAAAATCACTCTTAAATATACGAAGGTTTAAAATTTGTCATACAAAAATAAATTCACTTCTTTAATGTGATTGAGTTCAATTGAACTAGAAAATTGATCAAAATAGTATTCCGTACAAGTACTATTTTGGATTTGTGGAAACAATCTGATGATAATTGTCAAGTCTTATTTCAGAAGAAATTTCTAAGCACATATTCGAAAAGAGCGAAAATGTCTAATTCAAACTAACTGCTTCTAGCTCTAATTAGCTGTCTTTAAGTAGTCGAAAAATCATTGAATGTTTTGTCTCAAAAGCTTAATTGATAATCATTAAAAATTTTATCAGTAATTTGAATAATGTTGATAAAAAAAAGTGATCGAATCAAGCTAAAAATTTAACAAATTACTAATCTCATCGCCATCTACAATATGTCAAAAAAAAAACAAAATCAGCAAATTTTAAGATATTACTTTATCATTAATGCGTAAGTTTCTCAGAAGCTTACTCATAAATATTCTTTTTAGGTATTATATTATGCTTTTGCTATCATTATTGATTGCATTACTTCTTTGCTATTTTACCAAAATGATGCCAACACCTCTCGTGCCTGGTATATTTTTATTTATCTATTATTTTTACTAATATGTAAGTTCATTAAATTTTATTTTAGCTTCAATTCTTCTTACAATTATCTTCGCTTTACCAACTGGTATTATTACAGCAATAACAAATATGACAATCAGTTAGTTCTATAAAAATAATAACCGAAATTTTGCTTTCTTATAAATTGTAATATTAATTTATATTTTTTCTTTTAAGCTGCTCTTGGCGCAACTGATTTTCTAGGTAGTCTAATTCTATTGGGTAATCCTATTGGTTATCTTACATTCCGTACATTTACACATACATGTCAAAATCAAATTTTAATTTATTTGACGAATATTAAAATTGGTCATTATATGAAAGTAGAAATAAATTTTATTATCTTTTTATTCTTCAAATATATTATTTCAATATAATCTATAGATTCCACCTCGGATCGTGTTTTCTTTATTTATTATAGCTTCGATTATTACTAGTATAATTCAATATATAACTTCAATATATCTTCTTAACAATGTACCACATATTTGTACATCAAACAATCCTGCATGGAGATGTTTGGCTCTTCATGCTACTCATACAGCATCAATTGTATATGGTGCAACTGGTAAAATAAAAAAATCTTTTTTTTTCTTTGTATTTTAAAGCGAATAGCAATATTTTCATATTTATTAGGATCATTCATTTGGAATTCACAATACTCTTCAATGCTTTATGGATTATTAATTGGTGCTATATTACCTATATTAAGTTGGTTTTTATGGAAAGCATTTCCTCGTATTAAATGGTTAGCATTAATTAATTTTCCGATTTTTTTTATGGCTACAATAATGTTACCTCCTGCTCCAGCTGCTGAATATCCATCATGGTTTTTAGTTGGATTTATTTTTAATTTTATTTTATATCGTTATGCACATAATTGGTGGGAAAAATATGCATATATATTTTCAATTGCAATGAGTTGTGGAGTAGCTATATGTGGTTTTGTTATATTTTTTGCATTTCAACTTCATTCTTCGTCTTTTCCTCAATGGTGGGGTTTAGGAGGGATAAATGGAGATGGATGTCCTTTAGATGGCGCAAACTTTTCAGGTGTTATTCCGACCGATAGATATATCTGAAGGCATTCCTTCTTGTTTTTTTTTCAAATAAAGATTTATTAATGATTAAATAATAAAGTGGAAATTATAAGATAATACAACAGACCTGGTTGTCCAGTTATTAAAATATGTCGAATAGTTGATGTTGATGTTGTTGAATGAGCCATAGAAAATAGAAAAATAATCTTCAAATATATAGAAATAAAACAGGTTTGTATGCATTTTTTTTTCTTAGTTGTTTATAAATCTACAAATTTCTTGAATCGATCTGAATTTCGACTGTTGTATTCATCTAAATCTTATCTAGACTTTCTAAACGTCATACTTAAGTGTGTATTGAACTGCAAATAAATTATAAGAGTTTTTCTCTTGAAGAATTCGGATTAAACTAAAAAAAAGATTGTATCAATCTATAGCAAGTAGTATTACCTCTACTATAAAAAAAAACGTGTAAACAGCCGTCTATATAATAAAAATTCTCAATTTTCAATCAAAAAACTCAATCAAACATTGAATTTATTGTACTGATGAAATTCTCAAAATCTAATTGGTATTTTTATTTTACTTGAAAAAAAAAGATTTTTTTTTTATCTTAAATTATTTTTAATGTAATAAAAGTGTTTTAAGAACAGATTTGAAACCCTACTGATGAGGGAAATCTTAGCAATTGATAAAATTGCTATTGAATCGAGATTATGTGAATTATATAGACCAAAATATGCTATGTAGACTTTGAAAAGAGTTTGCGTCCTTCACTTATTATTTCGAAGACATAGCACTTTTACAGTATTTTTTAATCAAGTACCATTGCTCCTCTAACGAACATAGGAAAAAAAACCAAATTTTCGAATTTCTCCTTGAAAATTTGCACAAAGACAGACCGTAACAAAAGTAAGTTTATTGTGAAAGTTTCAAATCTTTTGATTTTATCTTAGAATAGTAACAGCAACAGGTTCTGAAATATTCACAAAAAACTATTCTCAGAAAGGCCTGTCTCTATGCAGAGTTTTAAATTAAAATTCGAAAACTAGCTTTGCCAATGTTTCTGAAAGGGATCACAGCATTCAATTAGAAAATATTGTAAAAAGTCCACTATCTCTGCAACAATAAGGTTAAAACGTGAACTCTTTTCAAGATATTCATAGCTCATTTGCATCTACATAATACACATAGTCTTGGCTCGAAAGCAATTGATCAATTGGAGAACTTCCATTATCAGTAGGCTTGAAGTAAAAACAATACTAACATATTGAACTACATTATACACGGAACCTAATAAATTGGTAGTAATGTCTAATATATATGTTTTAGTTTTTTCTTGCCGTAAAAATCATCATGAATGTATTCGAAAGTATAGTAGACTATCATCAATTGTAACTTTTATCTTATAGATATTCATTCGTATTCTTTACGTTTCATTAATCTTCTAAAAATTTGCAATATATCTTAGATTTAAACAAAAAAAAAAATCTTAGTATTCATCTTTTGTTTATTTTCTTATTTTATCATCTAACTATTTATCAAATATAGAATCTAGATAAGAATATGAACATGATTTTAGTTCATCCGAATGTTACAACGATATTTTAATTAACATTGAAACCATCATTTCATAAATAGATTTATTTATAAAATAATGGTTAGGTTTATTTTTCTAATGAAACATCAATAACCACTTATTAAATAGAACGAAACAAAACATTAAAAACAAAAAAAATCAATCTAACAATTCGTCTGTTTTTCCTTTGCTTATTTTAAAGCTATGTTTTTTTGTTTTGATAAATAATTATGCATAAAATTTTAAATGTTGAATCAAAACCATTACTAAAGAAGTTGTGTTTCTGTTTCTCTTTTAAATAACAATAGCAAGAATAAGAGCAAAAAGTAAAAAGCCATGACAAAGAATATATAAATCGACGAATGTCGTATTTATAAACAAAAAAGAAAAGAAAAAGAAACAGCACCAGAAAGAGAAAATAAACGATAGCGAAAGAACAATCAACAAGCTAATAGATTTTTTTTTCTCTCGTTCATTTTTGTTTTTATTTTTTTGTTTTTGATAATATCATAAACGAATTAAAAACTAACAATATGTCAAAGACAAGGAAGTTTCTTTTATAAGATCAACTTTCGGATTGTTGTTGATCGGACAAAGAAGATACTGTTGATTGATCGACATTTGATGTTGATACCTAAACATATTGAAAAAAAACTTTTTATTAATTCGAACGAAAAATTTCTTGTCGTTTTTTTTTTGTTTTTCTCTTAGTCTCGAATTTTGATTTGATATAAAGAGAAGTACAAAAGGCATGCAGCGTTATTTTTCAGTATTACAAAAATAGGATAAGAAAATAATTCTTTTTTTTTTTATGGATATTCGGAGCGTACCTCTCCGGTACCACTACGATGCATTTCGTTCAAATGTTTATCAAGTTGTTGAACAACAGAATCTTGATTCTCGAGAGCTTGTTTGCTTGATCGAATCAATTCATTCAATTGATCAACACGTGAGTCAGTTTCAGGTACAAGTGGTGATTGTAGATTTATAAATTCGAGTGATTCATCCTAGATTAATTATGAGTTAGAATAGAAGCAATATACAAATAAACATATATATATATTCAAAAGCAAACAAGCATACAAAAGCTAAGAGATTATTTTCTATTATTATTATTATTATTATTATTATTTAATTGAATAAACATGCAATGAATTTTAATTAGATATATATACTTACACCAGTTATAGATGGAGTATTAGCCATAAGAAGAGATTGTTCTTCAAGTTGAAGTTTTAATGTACGTGTTTCATCAACTGTTGTATCATAAGCTATTTGTAAACGATTGATTTCAGAACGTAAACGTTGTAATTCACCGTTTAATTGTTCATTTTCACTAAGAATACTTCCTAATGTTGCATCTTTCTAACAAAAAAAAAAAAAAAATTATTAATTAAAAAAAACAAACAAAAGAAATATTTATGTAAAATTTACACTTTTCAAATTAGCAAGTAAATGTTCTTCTTTAGTTTGTACTGTTTGTTCAATCTCTTTCAATTGACTTTCCTATAATAGATTAGAATTATAACAACTAAAAAAATAAATAAATATTTTTACTTACAACTTCTTGCATATTTTTATGAAGTTGATCATTTTCATATTTAAGTGCTGCAGATTCATCTTGTAAAATTCGCTAAAATAATATTAAAAAAAAAAGACAATTACTTAAATCATACAAACAGTAATAACGGATACATTTCAATGTCCTATAAAATTTTCAAGGACATTTTCTCTTTAGATATACTAATCGTAAAATCATTGCACTCTGTATTTTATCGTCCTTCAACTCATATCGTAGTAACAAAATTTCGATAAAGACCAATTGTTATGATATGTAATGATAACATTATAGCATATCGTTTCCATAATATGTATATATAAGAGCTTGTTGGATTCGAAATTTTCGGAGTTGACCTAGTCCGATGGGCTCTAGTATGTATGTATCCATTGCATGATCTATTCTTTTCTTTTTATATATGAGTTATATATAAAGACTTTTTTAGGGCTAGCTTTCTATAAGTTTTTATTATTGAACTTGATCAAATTGTATCATGCTTTAATAAAAACTTATGTACTATTTAAATATAAAAAAGTATCGAAAATGAGTGCAATTGTGTGTGTGTATGAATAACTAGGTTAAGCATTTGATAAAATAAAAACTTGATGAATTTATTATTTCTGGATTTTCTTTTTGTTTCATTGTCATTACTTTTTTTTTTTATACTAACATATATAGATGGTTAAATAGTAGAGGAGACAAGAGAAAAACAAATAGAAGATCTATCATAGTACACACAATATAGACATTATAATCTAATGTTATCATCATAGATCATAAAATAAGCAGTTCTTATCAAAATTTTATTATTATGACGGTACTTTGAAGAATGATAAAATATAGAGTACTGAGATTCGTACTATCAGTATAAATAAAGAGAAAGAGTTCTCGAACTATTCTAAAGGATAATGAAATACTTTCTTTAATAGATTTAATATGTCCTTGATAATAAATAAATAAAAACAAACTTTTTTTTTTGAATATAAAATATCATTTTTTTGTTCAGATGCCATGTTTTCAAATCTTTACATAACTGATTTACTCATGACGAGCCTTATAATGCGACTGGTCATGGAATGCAACATATTTCACTTTCTATACTGTAATCAAGAGAACCTTGATACTCGGAAAGGAACTATGTGCATATTGAATTGACACGGGCAAGGCATTGATGAAATAAATCAGTTATGCTATCAGAGAATGGATTAAGGCTGTTCATCACAACATGAAAAGATATTTTATATATATATGTGTTGGTATCAGTTAGATTCGAACTTGAGTTCACATGGTTTAATTCTATTTAAACCACTAAACTAAAGAAATATTTACCTTAGTTGATTCGATGTTTGATGTTAATACGGTTCGATATGATGAAAACCATTCATTGAAATCCTTTTTGAAACAAAAAAAAAATTTTTTGTTAATGTTTTAAAATAAATTTTAGTATATATTAGAATATGTTATATACTATCGAAAGAAAAACTTCAATAGATTATTTACTAATCTAAAAAACTTCGATATAATGAAATCTAATTGATGTGACGACTCAGTTGAATAATTAAATTAACTAATACTATGTTTTTTTTGTAAAACTCCTATTCATAGTAAATAAAACTTATTAATACCATTACAGATATAAAATGCAGAATAATAAAATTTTTCTTTCGAGTTTTTTTTTATGTGATAAACTACAAAAATGAACCAAAAATTTTAATATTTAAATTATAATTCATATTTATTTAAAAATTTTTTTTTTCTTTATTTGCTCGATATTTAATTGCAATCAAGTTAATATTTACTTGATTATTATTTGGTAATTGATTTCTAACATCTTGTTCAAGAAGTTCAATAAGATTTTGTTTTAGTTTATCTTGTTCATGTTGAAAATATTCATTCGATTGTAATTTAAAAGCCTAAAATAAACAAAACAAATCCCCAAAAGAATTTCAACTAACATGCATAAATAACTATTAGATGACATTCACAAAAAAAAATAAAAGCAATATGTTCATACAAGTAAATAAGCATCCCCATCGAAAAGATAAATAAAAAACTAAAAACCCTAAGGAATGTGCAGAACTAAGATAACTTGCTTTAAAATAGTTTTATTGCATTTTATCAATAGATATAAAAATCGACGAAACAGAAAAAAAGAAAACCCAAAAAATTGATCATGAGATTATTTATTTCATTTTCAGATGCTTTGTTGTTTTTTTATTATAAAAACCCTCCTTTTGTTTAAATAATATGTGTGTGTGTGTGTGTTTTATTTATTCAGTTTTTGTATTAGATCGAATTAGAGCAGCAAGTTTTTCCTCGGCCGATATTAATTCGTTCATCACTTTCCAATTTCGTAGGCGTACTTTCTAAGATAAAATAAAAACAAAAAGACAGAGCAAACGAGAGAGATTTAAAAAAAAACCTAAAAATATGTGTGTTCGCTCAGTGAGAAAATTAGACTGAAAAATCAAAGAAAATTCAGTAAAAAAACAAATATTTTCATCAAAGCGATCAGCACATTAATTTAAGCGTTGATATATATGAATTTTTGAAAGGACAAAAAATAAAAACAACTTACATCGTTTGTAGCTTTAACTTCTTCAAGTTCTGCACGTAGTTGATCGATTTGTATATTTTTAGCTTTAGCTTGTTCAAGTTCTACTCGTAATTGATCGGTTTGATTAGTTTGAGCTGTGACTTGAACAAGTTCTGCTTGTAATTGATCCATTTGAGTCGTTTTAGCTTGAGCTTGTTCAAGTTCTGCTCGTAGTTGATCGATTTGTATATTTTTACCTTTAGCTTCTTCAAGTTCTATTCGTAATTGATCAATTTGAGCAGTTTGAGCTTTGGCTTGTTCAAGTTCTGCTTGTAATTGATCCATTTGAGTAGTTTTAGCTTTAGTTTGTTCAAGTTCTGCTCGTAGTTGATCAATTTGTATATTTTTACCTTTAGCTTCTTCGAGTTCTATTCGTAATTGACCAATTTGAGCAGTTTGAGCTTGAGCTTGTTCAAGTTCTATTCGTAATTGATCAATTTGTGCGGTTTTACCTTTAGTTTGTTCAAGTTCTACTCGTAGTTGATCAATTTGTGCATTTTTAGCTTTAGCTTCTTCGAGTTCGACATTTAATTGATCGATTTGTGTATTTTTAGCTGTTAATTCATTATTTCGGGTTCTAAAGAGCAAAGAGAAGAAAATTTATTTAAAAAAAAAATTCTCTATTTAAATTTTTTACTGGTCTTGTTGAATTTGTTCGATATTCTTCTTAAATTGTTCGATTTCTTGTCGTAATTCATTTTCATGAGATTGAGATTGTGTCTAAATGAATGATAAATTTTATTCAAGACAAGTAAAAAAAAGGAAGATTATTTTTACTTGAATTTCATTGATTTTCTTTTTATATTGTTCATTTTCTTCTATTAATTCTTGTTTTAATCGATTTATTTCTTGTTGATATTGTTCACGTTCTTCATTATTTAATTTTAATGGTTGTAATGATTCAAATTGAATTTTTTCTTGTCGTAATTTTTCATTATCTATTTCTAATTGTTCGATACGACATTTAAATTCATTTAATTGATTTATATGTAATGTCCGATTTTCATTTAATTCTTTAATTAATTTTTCTTCATTAAGTTGAATTTGTTTTTGTACTTCTTGAACTTTTTGTGCTAATTGTTGATTTGAACTAAAAGTTTAAAAAAAAAACGAAAATTTAAATATAATTCAAAAATCAGTAGGAAAAAAAGACGAGAAATATTTTATAAATGTCTATCGAGTGGAATCAATATGATGAAATCATTAACAGATGAGTCCGATAGATGTTCGACACTCGCATTGTATTGTTTACTGAGACTTTCGGATCAGGCTCTAGACAAAATACTCATACTTGAGAAAGTTCGTATTTGTCCAGAGCTTCGATAACCGTGTTGATTCTTTCAGAATCTATTTTTATTATACGGAATTACTATTTACTTGATGAGTACTAGATTTCAATATTAGATATATGGATGCAATGCCGTCGTACGGTTTCCGACAATATTTCTATAGAATTTAATATCATTCTTATAGAACTTCATAAGATTTGACTGTTGGATTGATTCTTTTTGGTACCTATGCATTTATAGTATAGGATTATCGATTAAGAATCAGGTCTCAGGTCATTTCTAGTACTCCAAGGATGGACGTAGTTTTTTTTAGCCACTTTCATCTCTTAAAAAAATCGGTAACTCGATTATCATATTATTTCTTTTTTTTTTTTTTTACACGAAAATCTTATTGTCTATGAATTGAACTGAACGAAAGTTCTAGGTAATTAGGGCAAACCAAAAGTTCGTAGAACGGTTTTAAAGAACCTTGTCAGATAAGGTAACCTATTCAGAGATGAAAAACCAAATATACCATGTTGTAGAAATTTTTGAGGTGCATCGAATGGTATCTAATAAATCCTGTTTTCATAAGACTTTGAAGGAACTAGAGTCAATTTACTGATAGACGACTACGCACCCATACTCACATCCTCACCTAAGTATGATAGGTTACTGAATATTGTGGTCCTTGGAATTAGTCGAAAGTATTTGTAAAATATTTTTTCTCACATAAGATTTTGCAGAGTTTCTGACGGGCTACAACCTCATATATGTAGCATCTCCGGTCATCTTGTCAGTGTGGGTATGTAGTTGTCTATCAGTGAATTTACTCTAGTTCTTTCAAAGTCTTATGAAAACAGGATTTATTATATACCATTTGACGCGCCTCCAAAAGCTCTACAACATGGTATATTTGGTTTTTCATTTCTGAGTAGGTTACCTTATCCGACAAGGTCCTTTAAACACTGTTCTACGAACTTTTGGTTTACCCTAAGTACATAAGCATATGAATGAGACAAATGTTGCATAGATTATCTTACCGAAGCAATTCGTCTTTTTCTTTTTGTCCTTCCAAAATAATTAATTCTTTAGCATTAAGTTGTTTTTCTAAATTAGCATTATCAACTGATAATTTTTTTGTTTGATCACTTAATACACGAAGTTGAACATTTGTTGGATCACCACTATTATTCATTATATTTAATGATGGAAATTGTTGTTGTTGTTGTTGAAAATGTTGCTGTTGTTGAAAATGTTGTTGTTGACTTAATCGTTGTTTTAATTGTATATTTTCATCTGTAAGTCTTTTAAATTCAGCTTGAAATGTATGAATTTGTTGTTGTGGATGTTGAAGTGCATTTAATTGTTCATGAAGTACTTGTATATCTATATCTTTGTCATTTTTTTCTTTTAATAAATCATTTATTCGACGTTTATCAGTATTACGTTCATCAGTTAATTCTTGTATACGTTTCATAGCATTATTTTTCATATCTTAAATAAAAAAAAATTTTTTTTTTGTTGTTTAAAAACGAAATAATAAATCAATACCTTCTTCAAATGCTCGTGCTGATTCATCTAAAACTTGACCAATATGTGCTTGTGGATCAACTTTTTGACCATGTTGTAACTAAAAATTGAGATAAAATATTTATGAAAAAAAAATTATAAAAAAATCTTTTTTTTTTTCTGTTTTATTTAAATAAATACTTTTGACCAATCTTTATTAATAACAGATTGTTTATTAGCAATTTTATGCATAATAATATCTAATTCATCAGTTGATAAAGGAACTGCATCAAGTGCTAACATAAGTTCAGTAACAACAGTTTGTGATGTTGGAAGAGCTAAACAAAAAAAAAAACGTTGTTTTAGACATACTCAGACAGTGTATTTTTGTAGTGAAAACTAGATTTACAATAAAATCTTATAGAACTTAGCATAGTCATAAAAATAAGTTCTTATTCAAAGATTTTACGATAAGTACTTCAATTCAAATGAGTATCATACTATTGTTATTTTTGAATGGTCTTAATATGTAGTTTTCCTAAGGTGAGATTTTTTGAATAAGAAATTGTTTTTTTTTTTGCTATTTTAATTCTCAATTAGAGGAAGAAGTTTTCTCTTGACATAGGTACGTGATAACTTTGAAAAGAAACTAAATTTTGACTCATTATTTGTCTGTCTCTCATACAAAATCAAAAATAAGTAGACAATGTCATTGCGAAATCAATATGATTTGAAACGAATGAACAGATCGTCTGTTGTCAAAAGACTGAGTGTACTTTCCCCAGTTCGCAACAATCAAACAACAATATTTTTTATAAATAACTCGACAAACTTTCTTGAATCATAAAAAATAAACTCATTTAACTAACATCTTACTTTTAACAAGATCAGCAATTTTCATTGGTGGAACAACAGTTGGTTGTTTTATAGATGATGGATTTGTATTCAAACCATTGAGTTGAGTTGGTATTTCTTGTTGTTGTTGTCGAATTGGTTGACGTTGAGCTAATTGTTCATGTTGAACTTGAACAGATGCTGGTTGATGTTGAACTTGAACAGATGTTGGTTGATGTTGAACTAATTGTTCTTGTTGAACTTGAACTGATGTTGGTTGACGTTGAGCTAATTGTTCGTGTTGAATTTGAACCGATGTTGGTTGTTGAACTGAAGAAGTAGCTACAGTTGTTAATGTTGTATTAGCTGATTTATTTTGTTGTTGTTGTTGTTGTGATGGTGGTGTTACAGTTTTATTTCGATTATTAACAACAGTAGTAAATGGTTGTTCATGTTGTTGATGCTGTTGTTGATGTTTTTGACCTCCTTGGTTAACATTCGTTGATTTTTTAACTGATACAGAAGTAGAAGGTACTACTGTTTGTTTATTTGATTGTTGAGATGATTTTGTATGAATTTTATGATGTTGTTTAGCTAATTCAACTTCATCTTTTGGTATTGTAGTTGCTAATATTGGATGAGGCATTGGTGCAGCTTGATTTGTAATTGGACTTTTTTCATTTTTATTAACAAGAATACCTTCGACATGAATTGTTGTTTTATTTTTATTACGTTTACGTGCTTTTGATGTTGTTGTAATAATTGGTGGTATTGATGTCGATATTAATGATTCCTAACAGATAAAAACTAGTATTATGTTTTTTTTTAAATTACAAATTTACTTGTTCACTTTCTTCTCTTTCATTATCTGTATCTTCACTTGTTTGTACAAATGGTTCTTGAAATTTAACTTTATGTTGGTGATGATTTACTTCTTTTTCTTCTTCTTCTTCTTCTTGTTCTGGTTTATTTTCACGTTTTAATTTTTTTTGTTCTTTACGTTTTTTTTTTGTTTGTTCATTATTATGTTTATCTTTTTTTTTCTTATCATTATTTGAATCAAATAATTGATTTGTATCATCTTTTTTTCCTGTTGAATTTATTGATATTAATGGATCTGGCATATTTATTTTCCATGCAATAAAACCAAAAAAACCAATTAATGTAATAATAATTATCAAAGCAATCGAAATTGTTAACCAATCAATCATATTTTCTTCTTTGAATATTCACTACTTTTTTTTTTGTTTATGTATACAAGCACATTTACCCAATTCACCCACCTTATTGATCTAGTACGAATAAAAAAAAAACTTATTTATCTAGAAAAAAAGAACAACAATAATTTTAATAAATATTTTTTTGTTACCTGTAGATATTTTTTTTTTTAAATGTAATCGGTTAGATTGAAATGTCACGAATAATAGTGTCGAAGAAGAAGAGGAAAAAAAAAAAAACACTTAAGCATTTTATTTTACATAAGCGACAAAAAAAGAAAAAAGAATAAGAGGATGAATTTTCTATATAACACATGTATGCATTTTAAATAGAAAGTTTATATTAAAGATTTTTCATAATGATTTTTTTTTGTTATAAAAAATATAAAAAAAAAATTATATTTATTATTAAAAATTTATAAATAATTTTATTTATTGATCAACTTTACAAAAATATATTCAAATGGTGATATTTAAAACCAATAGAAATCTTCACTATGGAAATATTTTTTTGAAATGATGACATTGAAATAAATTTTTTTTATTTTTGTCATTCTTTTTTTTTTTTTCTTTCATCGATGTGATTATAAACTTTATCAACTGCATTGAAATAAGATCATCTGCGTAATAGCTACTGTAGTCTTTCAAATGCAATAATTGTATTTTTTTTTAATATATAGCATATCTACTGCTTATGTTTGCTTAATAAACTTTAGCAGTTTAGATAAATATTCAAGTATATTCAGCAAAAACAGAAATATCTTGATTAAAAATATAAAAGAAACGAAGAATTCTAAGTGTAAAATAATAACTTAGTTGTATGTTGATTTTCAATTAAGAAAAATTTATTGTTGTATGAATTAAAGTACATCTAAAAATAAAAATAAAAGGTTGTTTTTTTGTTTTTAACGATACTTTTCATCCAAAAAGAATTCTAAATTTATTGTTTAATCATAAAAATTTCCGTTCAATCATTTTTGTTCTTTACGCATTTCATTTAATAAATAATATGATTTCATTCATGTAACAAAAAAAGAAAAAACAATATTTTGAAACGTATATTATAAAACAGAGACCGATCTCGAACTACTTCTCAACAAAAAGAAACGGCGTCAAACTGAATCAAATCTTCTTAATTTTTCAAAAAATGAATGAATATAGACAAGTATATAAAACTAATTAACTGAGCTAAAATATTTTTTGATAGAACTGTAATGTTGTTAATGATTATCAAACGATTTTTGATCTATTGTTTTAACATTAGAAACTCGAAATGATCAATCTACAATTATAAAAATCTATTAAATTCAAAAATAAACTGTCAAAAAATTAAATTTCAAATTATTTCATATAAGAATTTAAATCAAATTTGCACAAATTTTTTAAAAAATATATCCAAATCATATCGAAATATGTGTATAAAGCAGTTTAAATAAAAATTTGTATGATTATCTATAGAAATAACAAAAACCTTTCATTTCTCAAATTTGCTATCAAAGATATGTTTATGAGGTTTTTTTTTAGAATCATTAGAAAATAATAGAAACTAAGAGCAACTGCTTTTTTACGAGATTTTCTAGAGCGATGATCAGATTTTAACGCATATATGCCAGTTTCTCTCTTTATTTCTGATCTACTTTTTTTTTTAAAGTCATATGTTTTGACAATCGAGCTGATGAATTAATTAAGAAATAAATTTCAAAAAAAATTAAATTTAAATCAGCAAGAATTTGAGTTTAGAATAAATTAAAAGAAAAATGTCATGCCTATTAAGAACTGAAAATGAACCGAACGGAGCCGAATCTGAACCAGTAAAATTTGGTTCGATCGGTCTCTATTATATAATAATGAAAACATAAATTCAGTTTTCTCAATAGATGAACAATATTTTATCAAAATTTAATAAATATTTTTCAATAGTAAAAATTTCTATATTGATGAAAACTTTCAATATAACAATTCTACCAATAGAACTTTGTAAAGATTCAAGACTACTTTTATCTATCTATGTTAGTCACATTAGTTGATCAATATAAAGCAAAAGAGAAAAGTACAAAGATAAAAGTATAAAGAGTCAGGTAAGTTTAAAATGATGCAAACCATATCTTTCAGTGTTTTTGACATTATTGCGTAAAATATCGTTTGCTAACTTATAAAAAAATTTCTCCTTAGTTTATGTATATGTGTAGTATATAAAACGTGAGATACAATGTTTGAAAAACGTTCAAGTATTCGTTCAAATCCTAAAACTAATGATGATAATGATGAACCATTATTAACATTGACAACAGTTGATCAATCACATGAATCAATTTTAATAAATACTTTAAATAAAGCAATAGTGGATATTGATGCAACTAGTGAAGACAAAACAGATACAGAACTTCTCTTACATGAAATTCCAGTAGAACCACCTGTAACAGGCACATTCCTATGTAAAAAAATATCTGCACGCTATAGTATTGTTATATGGTCTTTCTTTGGTTTCTTTTGTCTTTATGCTATGCGAGTCAATTTATCTGTAGCTATTGTTGCTATGGTTTGTATATTAATGATATGATATAGAATAGAATCAAATCTTTTTCTTTTTTTTATATCTTTAGGCAGCACCACAAAGTGCTTTAAATGAATCAGTTCAATCATGTGCACCACAAGATAAAAATTCTACAACACCTCCACCAGTATATATCTATATATAAATATATCTATTTGATTAAATTTATTTTACAAATGAATAATCTACACATTGTTTATTAGACATTTGAATTTGATTGGAGTCCAACTATTCAAGGAATTGTCCTTGGAGCATTTTTCTATGGTTATATTACAATGCAAATGTAAGAAAATTAATAAATACATTTATTTTTTTTAACCTCTAAAATGAATATTGTTTTTCTTGATTAATTGGTTTTGCTTTTGTAGAATAGGAGGTAATTAATAAATTCAAAAATGAATTCTTTATAAATAAAAATTACTTTTTTTTTCTCTGTACAGGAAATTTTGCAGAAAAATTTGGTGCAAAATGGATATTTGGTGGATGTGTATTTATATCAGGTTTATTAACATTACTAACACCATTAGCAGCTCGTATTCATGTTGGATTCTTAATTGCAATACGATTTTTAGCTGGTGTTGTTTGTGGACCAGGATTTCCATCAGCAGCTGCTCTCTGGGGAAAATGGGTATAAATTAAAAGATATGAAATTTATTTAGAAAAAAAAAACTCTATTATTTGTTTCTCTTATAAAAGATACCACCATCAGAACGTAGTACACTTCCACCAGCAGCACAAAGTGGTGCAATTTTTGGGATAATTATTACTACACCGTTGGCTAGTATTATGATTGGAGAACATTTTCTTAGTGGATGGCCATCACCATTTTATGTCTTTGGTAAAATTTTTTTTTTTTGTTTCAATAAAAACTAATGGATATATGTATTTATTGATTATTAGGTGTATTTTCTTGTTTATGGTTTATTGGTTGGTGTATTTTTGGTTTTAATTCACCAGATCAACATCCACGTATATCAGAAAAAGAACGTCTTTTCCTTAATCAACATATAATAACATATAAACGTCAAGTATGAACACGAAATACTATTTATTAAAATTTTTCTTTATTTTTTAAGGATCGAAAAACACCATGGAAACATATACTACGTTGTCCACCTTTATATGGTATTGTTATAATGCATATTTGTCATAATTATATTTATTATACTTTATTAACATCGTTACCAACTTATTTTGCTACTATACTTAATTTTAACTTACAGCAGGTAATAGAAAAACGACAAGAAAATTTTAAGTACAGAGCGAAATGTATGTAGACTTATTTACAAGGACTTTTTTTTTAATCTAATGATGCATGCATAGAAGTGTATGTTAATGCATTGATCAGCGGCGGCAGCGGAAATTTTTCGATGAATCTTTTAAAAATTTGCTTAATTTCGAGCAGAGCTGAACGAATCAAATCAAACTTGAGCTATGCAACTTTGATTTTAATAAATTTTGAAATGAAAAAAAAAAAGAGAGACAACCTTTAGTAGACAACTTATTCAGAAGAAATCAGATGGTAACATCTTCAAAAACTGATTTGCAATGTCACAAATCTTTAAGATCAAATATATATGTTTATGTCATGAAGAGAGAAGCTCAGCCAGTTGACACACATCTCTATCTATTGACTATCAGATTCTCTTGCATACTGTTGATATGTTCACAGTACGCATTAGAACATGATAATGCATACACTATTAATTAGATAGAGAAAATCTGTTTTTAGTCGAATTTCATCGAAATACTTTTAGATGTCTTTGATTTTTTTGCTTAAATTTATTTATTTAATTCTTTAATGATTTAGAATGGTTTATTGTTTGCTCTACCTTATTTGGCACAATTTTTGGTAACAATTATATTTGGACCTATAGTAGATCGTATACGAGCACGAAATATTATATCTATAACAAAACTTCGAAAAATACAAACAATTATTGGTAAGAAAGAAAAATATTAAAAAAAAAATATATATATATATATATATATATTTCGTTTTTAATTCTCAGGTACTGTGGGTACATGTTCATTTTTAATTGCCATTGGTTATATGGGATGTAATTATATAGGTGCAGTTATATGTTGTATTCTAGCTGTTGGTTTTCTTGGTTTACATACATGTGGTGCAATAATTTCTCATCTTGATGTTGCATCAAATTATGCTGGTAAAAATTTTTTAAAAGATGTATATTTAACTTGTATTGTTTCTTTTCTTCTATCAGGAACATTGGTTGGTATTACAAATTCTTTAGCAACGATACCTGGTTTTATTGGACCTTATGTTGTAGGTGCAATTACAAATAAAAATGTAAGATTTTGTTTTCATAAGATAAATGTTTATTATATGTTTTTTTTGTTTTTGTTTAGCAAACAACTCAGGCTTGGCGTCTTATATTTAATATTTCAGCTGGTATTGGTGCATTAGGTTGTGTTGCTTATTGTATTTTATTTAATGGTGAAGAACAACCATGGAATCGAACTGAGGAAGCACGCAAACGCAATGAATCAATAATATCAGTACATACATAAGGAAAAATCATTTATTCATGGAAATCTTCAATAATTATTAAAAGGTGTATATCATCTGTTATATTTGTTGTTGACTTTATTTCATTTATAAATCTTTATATTTATTTTGCTACAAATAAAAATTCTAAATATATTTTAACTATTTTTGTTACTCTGTTATATCTATTAAAATTGTTTGTTCATTAAATATTTGACTTTTTTGAATGAAGATTATTTAATAAGGTGACACACGGGTATCAACATCATATATAGGTAGTCCAAAAAGTATCTGAACACCTGTATATCATGATTTTCGAAGTGAAAACAACAGATATTATTTTTCTTTTTCGTCAATAGATAGTTCTCACTTCATAGTAGATTATCCATAACAATAAACAATTTTGATTATTACCTCGATTTACGAAAACGTTTCTCATTGAAATGTCCGATTTTCCATATTTTAGATGCTCGCTTTTCGGGCATCACAATTATATTATTTGCACACCGCTGGAACAAGCAAAGCGAGCTCTATCTATTGGCATAATATTTCAATGAAGAAATTTAATTTTCACAATATGAACTATTTCAAAAGAAAATCAAATTTCTCAACATGCTTAATACGACAGGGCGAGTAAAAGATTACAATGAAATTTTTATCAAAATTAATTTCCAAATAAACCGTTAGAAAGCCTGTCAAAAGCTGCACAAAACCAGGACTACCTACTGGTGAAAAAAAGAAAAAGTGTATCTCTTGTTTCTGTTTCGCAAGTCAAGAAATACGAAAAAACATGGGAGGGGGTGTTCGGATACTTTTTGGACTACCTGTATATTACGTATATCTAAATTAGATAGCTTTGTTGTTGTTGTTTTTTTTTATTTCAAATTTATTTTACGCTAGACATGAGTCATCATCAGAAAAGTTCTTTTTTCAATAAGCTAATGTTCTTTTATTTGAATCTCATTCGAAAAGAAAACAACAATTAATTTTTGTTTCATTCATTATTAAAGAGAACTTTATTGAATAATTAGTTAATTCTCTATATCTTATCTATCAAATAGTTTTAAACTATAGAATTATTTGCTTTTTTAAGCATATGTATAATATATATTCTTTTCATACTCGAAATTCATAATTATTATTTATATTTTTTTTTCGATATTTACTGATATTTCTTTAAAATCTGTTCATCAACAAAAGAAAAAGAAAAAAAATAATGTCGTGCATGTAGAAGCAAAAAGAGAAAAAAAAAAAGTCGATAGTCTTTCATAACAATCTTAAAAAACACCTGGACCATTTCCAGCTGATTGTTCAGCAAGTTGTAATTGAATAATTTGTGATGGTGGTATTTGTAATTCTTGATTTACTTTCGATTGCATATATTTCGAAAGAAGAAGACGTAATTCATCATTTTGTTTAGCTAATGCATTATTTTCATCAATTAATTTTGTACGAGCATTTAATATTGAACTAAATAAATAGAATAAAAAATTTATTTATAAAATAAAATTAAACTTACTGATATTTTTGAAGACCTGATAAAAGTGCATCCCATAGACGTTCTCGTCTTTCATCAACAACATTTGGATATTTTGACCAATATTCAATATCTAATGAATCATCACGATCATCAAGTGTTGCTACTTGATATGCAGCTTGTGATGTAGTTCTTATATTAAAATAATAAGATCATTTTTTTTTTTTGTTTCAATAAATATATTACGAGAAAAATAAAACATACTTTCGATGACTTCGATATTCTTCAAGAAATTCTTTTAATGCTTTGAGTACATGATTTGGATGTATTAATTCAATACGATTATCAGCAGTATCAATTGTTTGTTGATGATTTGTCTAAAAAAGAAAGATAATCAGAATGAGTATTCATTCTTTTTTTAAAGTAAAAGTGTACATCAGTATCTTCTTCATCTTGCTCTGGTCCAGCACCACTTGATACATAAATTTTTGATTGTTGTTCATTATTTTGTTGAATATAATCAATAAAATATTTCGCCATAATTTTAATATCTTCTTCATTTTCAATTTTTAATGCACGAAAAATAGCATCTAATTTAATTAAATTTTTTTCATTGTTTTCTAATGGTTCAAGTAATGCTAATAATTTGGGTTCGATAAGAAAATCCTTTAAAAGAAAAAAAAAACATTGGTATTTTTTTTTTTCGAACATATATTCTATTTACTCCTTCATCACAAAGTAATTCAAGCATATTTTTCATTGCTTTATTTGATAAATGACTAGTTGTTTGTTTAGTAGAACTATCTTCTTGTTGATCAGTTAAGATTTCTCGTACAACATCAATTGATGGTTTAGGAATTTTTGTTGCATCAATAGGACCAATATTATTCATAAAATCAAGATCAGGTGGTGTCCAAGTAAGACCAAGTTGATGTTCAAATATAATTCTATCAGCATCAAGTAATTTTTGTGTCATTTCTTTACAACGTTCTTCATTCATTATCCATAATTCATGAAATTTTTCCATATCAGCTGTTAAAAAATGTCTAAATAATAAGAAAATGAATTAAACTACATAAATCTTAATTATCATATTTAAAATAAAAATATCTTCAAAAAGACGATTATATAGAAATTTCTTCGTTAGGAATGAAATATTAATTAAATTTATCGTATTGAAATTTGTACGAACTCTAGCTCAGTGTTCGAGACAGACAGTTCGTGTTCGGATTTGAAAAGTGTCGAGTATTTCGTAGGATTTTGTAGGACAAACTGTTTTTTTTGAATCTCGAACTCCGTTAGCTCCTTTCCATTATATTTTCGAAATTCGGAATTATCCCGCAGAACTTGAATAGTTGAGTAATTGTTCATCATAGAAGCATCCTACAGCTCAGTGAAGTTCAAGGTATTTGTGAATATTATTGACTTTTTTTTCAAGTTGACTGTGTAGATCTTCAGTTTTTGGATCATTTATTTCGCTATGTGTGAATCTCTCATAGCTAAAAGTGAAATTCTAACTTTTGGTACATTTCTAATCGTTAGGAAATATTAACTAATTCTATAGTATAATATTTATCGACTTGTATACATATTAAAAATTTTCAAGAAGTATTCAACTATTGACTTTTGTTTAATATCAAAGATGGAAAATCAATTTAATCAATAATATGAACTCTAATCAAATAAATACTTCAGAATTGATTATTCAATCAATATGTTAACTGTTTTATAAAAATAATAATCCTTATCATCGAGAAAACTCTATTATTCGTTAACAATGTAATATTGATGGAGTCCCAATAACCAGTGCTGTCTTCAGCGTGAGGAACAGACACACTTGAGCTTCTTTTCAAGTGGAACTCAACCTTTTTAATAGGAGAAGGAAGCCAAAAGCTTCGTTTAATCTCCATCTGACTATGCCATTATTTCAAAAGAGAAAACCTAGATGAAACACTATTCATTTTTTCATTATGGATGTCAAATTTAGAAATTGTTGTCGTCCTTCTCATATGATTTTGTCATTAACGAAAAGCGAATATTCTTCGATTGTCTCATTTATGTATGCATTAAAAACAAATATTTACTTTGCTTTTCGTTTAATTTCTTGAATATTTCCTAATGTTCGTTTATATTCTTCAGCTGCTTGAATACTATCAGTTTTAAATTGTTTTTCTTTTTGTATTAATTTTCTTTTAAGATTTGTTAATAAATCATTTAATTTAATTTTACGATTTTTTTGTACACCAATAGTTAATAAATTTTCTTCATCACGTTTTTTTAATACTTTATAATTATATTCATATTTTTCTTGACTTAATTGATAAATAGCCTTCATTTCTTCGATTTTACGTTGTTGTTCTTGTACTTGATTTTCTAATTTAACTTTAGTTGCATTAAATTCTTCAGCTTGTTTTACGCGTAAACGTTGTAATTCACGTTCAAATGTATCATGTCGTTCAAAACGTGAAATAACAAATTGTTCCTAAATAAAATAAAGTAAAATTTAAAAAAAAAAAAAACTTAATATTTACTTCTTTAAAACGTCGTTCTTCTAATTTTTCTGTCCATTCACGATTATATTTATCTAATAATTCTTGTCGTTCTTTTATAAATGCTTCTTCAATAGCATGTAATTCACGTGCATAATACATTCGACGACTTTTAACTTGTTCATTCATACGTTCAACAAGTAGTTTGATATTTTCATCAAATTTACGTAAAAGTTTAACATAATAATCATCTTTATTTTTTAATTCCTAGAAACAAAAAAACAAAAAGAATTTTATCTTGAGTGTTTTAAACATCAAGTTAGTTCTTTATTTTTCTTAATTCATATTGTATTTTATTTTGTATCTATTGTTCATTTTCAGAATAATTGTTATTTGTTTTAAAAGACAAGGTAACGAAAAATAGTAGTTTATAATTTTATTTCTCCGAATATCAAGTTTATAGATGTAATGTAGAAGCAAAAAATAAAGATCAAGATGTCTGTATAATATATAAAAACATTTGAAATATAATTTTACATTCAATAATTATAGAAATCGAATTGGAACTATATTAGTTTCATCAAGGTCATAGAGAGTTATCGAACTTAAGGATGAACGCACGAAAAGATGTTCTCAAATTTTCACTACCTTACGGAACGGGATGTTGCCTAGTGTCAGATTCAATGATCTAAGATCTTCTCTACAATTGATATTAGCTTACGCTCTGGATAGAAGATCAGCCAGATGCAGAATTCTTGCTCTCCATTGCCTTGAATTTCCCATATATAGTGACTAACCAGATACAAACCATGGGATCAGGTATATATCATAGGGATGCACCAATTCCGATTCCAACCAATTCCAATTCTTCACTCGAAATTGGCTGAAATTGGAATCGGAATTGGTTAGAATTGGCAAGAATTGGAATTGAAATTGGTCGGAATTGTTTTTTTTAAATCGTTGATGTCGCACATATTTCGAGAAATCGTCGATCGATCACCAATTTTTTTAGACCGATTCCAATCCCAACCAATTCTGACAATTCTAGGAATTGGAATTGGTGCGAATGGATGGAAAAAGACAGAAAGGAAAAATATCGAAAGGGCAAAATATCGAAAATAAAAATGTCGAAAACAAGAATATGAGGTGAAGATGAACATTTAAGATTGAAGATAAGGGAGGGGAAATTTGTACTTCAATATACTCTCGTTTACAATATTTCTTTCCATCTACATTTATTTTATTTTTTTTTTCGATATTTTTATTTTCGACATTTTTCTCTTTCGATATTTTTCCTTTCTACCTTTTTCCATCATACCATTGGTGAATCCCTAATATGTCACAATGTAGTCAGCATGCTATAGAGAAGATGATTCGAGACAATCATCTAGGTTCATTCTATGGCTAGTGACAGTAAGGTTTGAACACGATACCATGAATTCATTGTAGTTAATGTACACCGATACCAGTGTTTACTGAAGCATTGACATACACTGCTACAAAAAGGGCATATTTTCATAGAATTGATGCATCAATGTTGTAGCCAACGCAAATATCTCCGTTTCAGTAGTTCTATGTCAATGACTCGTTCTTTAGTATTTAGATCAACATTGTATATCTTTAGTTAAACTGCATTTTCAATATTCCATATAAACACATCTGTCAGAATGTGTTTATTATGCGAAAAATATTGATTCAAGTTGTATAAATGTAAAAGACAAGATCGAGTTGTAATAAGAAGTTTTTTTTTTGAAATGCTCATTTTTATAAGAATACCTATATTTCATATAATCATTCTATATTTATTTCAACCTTAATGAAGGTATTGAGCTCAAGATACCCATATATTGAATCAGTTGTCAGCAGGGTATTTTTTTCGGATATTCTGTCAACAATATGTCAGCCAGTTTTGATTAGATATCCTACTGAGAATTATCTCTGTAATGTGTACTTACTAGATATTTGCCCTATTCTTATATCATTCTATGAAAAACTTTTCAACGAGTTAATCGATTGTAGAATGTTCTGATCTCATTATACTCACTAGGGATGTCTTCCTTATTTTTATTCTAATAAATAAATAGATCGTAATAATAATTCATATGTAAACTTTATATTAATATAAACAAACCTTTTCTAATTCTCCAATTAATTTATTTTTTTCTTCGAGCATTGTACCACATGCATGTTTTTGTGCCATAAGTAACTAATATATATATATATAAACTATTTATATCGTTAAATACAATATAATTTTTTACTTCATGTAATTCTCTAGGAAGTTCTTTTGTTCGAGCACTTTCCCAATTTCGAATGATCTATTATTAATAAACATAAAATTAAAATAAAAAAAAAATTTTATAATATTCGTTGTATGTTCATTACTTCATCAAATTTTTCTTTTGATGATTTTGTATCTTGTTCTAAACGTTCATTTCGTTTTCTTGTTGCTTCTTCTTCTTCTAATCGATGTTGATGTTCTAATAAATCTTGACCAACACGTATATTTGTTACCTAATATTAAAAAAAGAAAAAGAAAAGAATTCTTTTTTCTTTTTCTTATTATTAATCAAATCATATAGAAATCCATACGAATTCTAAACCATCTTCTTCAAGTTTAACTAAACGTTGTCGTGATTGTTCTATTTGATCTTTAGCTAAACTTGCTTCATCTTTATGTTCATCTTCAACTGGTGATACAATACCAAGTGTTTTACTATATAATTAAATAATCAATTTCTAATATTTATAAAAGAAAATTATTATGAAGAAAAATACCGTTTTTTTTGTGCAATACGTTGTTCAACACGAATACGTCTAGCTAATATTCTTTCATCACGATTTTGTGATGTTAATGATGGTCCTTGATTATCATCATCACCTTTTGATTTTTGATTGATAGCTAATAATTCCATTGTAATGTTTACAAATAAAAATTTTTACTTTTTGTAAAACTCAATATTCATTAGGTGATTCTTTTCTATCGTTACACCTCCATATTTCTTTTTTATTTAACTAAGTATAATATAGAAGCAAAAAAAAAAAAACGAAAAAGAAAACGTCATCTATTGAAAGTATAAAGATGGCGTAAATTAAAATAAAATAAGAAAATGAGATTATCACATAAAAAAATTACAAATGTCTCATTGTTCGAATTGCTGTAACCATACGTGCTGGTTTATGTCGAGCAAGTTCTTCAAATGTTTCTTCATCAGTATTTAATAATTCAATCATATCACGAAAATCAACTACATCTTTAAGACCAAAATCTTCTAGAACACTATAGAGATATTCTAAAAATAGATTGAAAAATATAAATAATATTGAATTTTGAAAAGAAAAAAAAATCTCAATTTCAACTTACGAAGATCCATTATTAATTGTTTAAGACCTGTTGAAGTTAATGTTGAAATTTTTAATGTTTGTTCAATACATAAACGCATTGTAGCCAAAGCAATAGAATCAAGCCAACATGATGTTAAATCATTATACGATTCTACAAACACAAATTTTAGTTTAGCATGATAAAGTTCTTGTGATAAATGGAAACAATCCTTTTTTGGTCACGGTCACATGTAGAGAACCTGGACTATCTTGTTTCTTACGTTTTTCAAAGAATACATCTGGTCTATTAGAATACTACATCGGACGTTTTCTAGTCTCTTTGCTAAAAGACATATAAAGTAGTAAAACAAAAAAAAAACAAGATGAGCAACAAAGTATTTTTACTAGCTAATGGAGTTTTTTTTATTTTATGCATTGTACATTAAATTTTCATGAATGAATTATATGATGACATAATTTCTAAAGAACTAGACTATATAGTTTTCAGCTTCGAGAAAAGTTTTACTGGAGTCATTTTGTTCAATAATATCATTGCAAAGAGTATACAATTCTAAATAAAATGAACGATTGCTGAATTTTTTGCAAACTTTCTTGAAAAAGTTAAAATCATCACAAAACCTGAAAAACAAATTCACAAAAAATTGACTGACAATTGGTTTTTTTTTCTCAAGACAAAACAAAAATTAGAAATTCCGTACTTCAAGAGAATGTCAAAGTTATCCTCTAGAGCTTTATAACTATTTTCAAGTTGAGTATCAACATATGTTCCAAACAAGTTCGTTTGTCGATTATAGTAAGACTCCAAGGAAAAATATTGAAACTAGAAAAGTATTTAAAGAAACACTGATGGAATATGGATGATAGTGTTGATATAGTTGTTCTTTCCATTCAAAGTCTATCATTGACCCTCAAATTTTGATACAAAAGAAAACTAGGTCAAAACAACTACTATTCAACATCGTTAAAAATAATCTTGGTAAACGATATGATGACCTTATAAAGATAATGGAATGTTTAGATGGTTTGTCATTTACAATTACTAAACAGAAAAACGACACGATTATTTCTTTTTTTATCTATTGCTTAACTTGTATATGATCTATGTTGCGACGTTAATATTATGATAGCTATAAAGAATTTCTTATCGGTCCAAAATTATCGATGTTTTTCCTTCCAGCTTTTCTATCACATACCCATTAGTTTAAGTTCCTTTTATATAAATCTATCTGACAACTAAACTCAAATATTTTATCATATATCACTGATACGTAAATCTTCAAGTATGATCAATCTTTTCGAAAATATTACTTTAACCAAAAATAAATAACATCGTCAGAGTCTATCATGATACGGTTGTTTTAACACTCTTATTACTATAATTATAGAATTTATTGGAAAGAAAAATTCCTTGACTACTATTTGATTCTGCACCTTCAATTAGATAATATTTTACCTATCATCTTTCGTATATTAACTGATTTTTTGTTACTCGTTTGATAGATTCTATTTTGCATGGAATTTTCAAGATTTCTAGTGATGTAATACTTTTTTTTCTCTTTAATATTAATTCTTTAATCATGAAAATCAAAATTATCATACCTTTATCTTCAAGATAAGGTAATTTTCCTTTTTTAAATGCAATTCCTAATTGTCGATTATCATGTAAATTAAATGGTTCAAAATGTTGTGGAAGCATTAAAAGATATTGTCCAATCTATAAATAAAATTAAAATTAAATATAACAAAAAAAAAAAAAGAATTCAAAATCAAATCACTTTTGTAATATTTTCTTGTGGAACAAGACTAAATGAAGGTAAATCTGAAACAATTGTACTTCGACTTTCACTTGCCCAAATCTTTAAAGAAAAAAAAAAAAACAAAAGCATCTATAATAAAATTCATTTTAATGTTTTTTATAATTTACTGGTAATTTTGAAAAACCATTAAGAAGTGTATGAATTGGTAAAAAGACAACATCAAAACTAAATTGATGACATTCATCACTAAATTTACTCAATAATTTTGGTATATCCGGAAAAAGACTATAAGTTGCATCTATATATATATATATATATAAAGAAAACATTCAATTGATAAATAAATTTTGTTTTTACTTTCAAGTGCATTTGTAATTGATACAAAATCATGTTTATCTGATGATGATATTTTATTAATAAATGATTCAATTGCTAAATCAAATATATCATGATGTTGTTTATGTCTGTAGGAGAAAAAGAAAAACTTAGTATTTTTATGAAACATAAAGAATAGATCAATAGAAATTTACTTATTTGGTTTATTTGGCCATTCATTAATCATTTGTAACATTTGTTGAGCTAATGATGATTCAAATTGTTCATAAGCAAGAATAAGTTCACCTGTTATTTTTTTTTATTCGATTAAAAAAAATGGAAATTTTTTTTTTTTTTTCTTTTGTAATAAAAAATCTTAAGAAATTTTACCACATATTTCTAAGATACGAATGGTTTGTTGAAATAATTCCCAATCTTCAGTACCTAATATTTTTGAATTTCTTTCACGAATATTATTGACAACACGTTTTAATTCTCCAATATATGCAGTAAAAAATTTCTAAAGGAAACATATCTTATTCATAGAAAGACAACAGCAAATTTGTTATTTTTTTTTTTTCTTTTTGTTTCACATACTTGAAGAACACTAAGAAGACTAATAATTGTTTGACCATTAGTTAATTGTTTACATCTGTCAATACTCTAATTGAAAAGAAAAACCAGAAAATCAGTTACAGATTTTTTGTTTTTTTTTTTCTTTTGTTTTTTGTTTTTGATTAATTCATTTAATTTACCTCATTTGCTAATGAAAATACATTAGATATTGATGACATGAGTAATTGAATACCCGACGAAGTGTCACTGGTATCCTAGAAAATATCATATCATAAATAAAGAGTTTTCCTTTAAAGTTTACAGCTATATGTTACTACCAAAACATGTTGCCCATGGTATGAAATTTAGCACTGAGAAAAATCAGCAAATGCGTTATGTTTATATTATAAAATCTAGAGACAAACTATACAATTCACTTAATAAAACTATTCCATTTGCAAATGATACAAAGAAAACACATGAAAAATAAGTTCTATTTGTTTTCTTAATAGCTGGAATTTTTCTAATACTGAATTCTTATATATTAAATGAAAATACGAATTCATATATATATATATATTGTTTTTGATTGATTTTAGTATGAATAGATAATACTCAATTATTGTCTAAATTATTGAGTGTTTGCTAAATAAGATAAATTTTATTCTAATCGAAATGGCCGATAGGTCTTCTTTGGCTACATTCTATATATAGTATTGTTGAAAAACAGACCAGAGTGACATACGACATCTGACACAGATTCTATTAGAATGAAGAAATATTTTCCTTTAATTGTATGTTTTTCATGGATTATGTTGCTCTGCATATCTTTGCTTATTTTTGCACATATCCACTCTCCAATCAAAAAGCTAGATCGACATAGAAACAAACAAGTTTTGCCAAGCAATTAATACATACGAGTTGAATTGCATCGAGAGCATTTGTAAGTTGTTCTTGTTCATATATAGAATAATTTTGAAAAGCATCCGTATAAAGTGAGTATAATTCAAAAACAAATAATTCAATTGTTGATGATGAAAGATTTTCTAATACAGAAAAAAAACAACAACAACAATCAAGAATAAATGTTTCTTTTTAAATAAACCAGAATCAGAATAAAGATAAGATCTGTTAATATAGATATATTATGATATCATAATAGAAATTCATATGAAGGTCTTTCTTATTTCTTCATGTATAAGATTTCCTACTTATCAATAGTTGACAATCGGATAAGTTAATCTTGTCAAGAATCTCTTTTTTTTTGTATACTACGCAAATATGAACTCATCAACTTTTTTTTTTTTTAATAGTCGAGAAAGATTCTAATTAGATTATTCATTTAGTAAATTTTCGTTTGTTTTTTTTAATATACCATTCGATGATCGTGTCCCTTGAGATGATACATTTTGATATAATGGTTGTAATTGATTTTGAAGAGATTTACCAAATCGATCGGTAACCTAAAATAATAAATATATTGTTTTTGTTTTTGTTTTTGTTTTAATTTCTTTTAAAATATTATAAATGAGACAGCAAACTCATTATATACAGGACATAATAAATAAATGTCATCATCGGATATAGATTTCAACACAAGCTGCCCTTTGATTTCTTTTTGATTATCCTCGTTTTTTTTTTTCTTTCGACACATAACCTATTCATTGGCATTATACGATACATTGGCTATCATTCCTTTACATACATATAGACATATATAGAGATAACAATTTAGAAGGATGTTTGCTACGAACAACACGCGGCAAAACATTTCATGTGTTGACAGGTTGAATTAAGAAAAAGGATATAATTCTCCTTTGAGAAAATGAATTTAGATAAATATAATGAAAAACAAAACATAATTAGATAGAAAACAGCATCTGACCTAATTGCGATATATCTCAAAATAGAAAAATTAGCAAATGGGAAATACAATAAAACTTTTATTTCGTTGTTATTTTTCTCTTTTGTTGTTTTGCTTCTACTAGTTTTATAAATTGACTCTTAACTAAATAAGTTTTTTCTGACAATAATGATAACAGTAAGCTTTTGCTTGTTTGTTTCTTTCTTTCATGTCAACTTTTGGCGGAAAGATGTCTTGTCATGACGAGTTATGTTGATAGATTTTAGCTTTGCTTTGTTCTTAGTAGTGCCACCAGTTTCATCCTATACTCCATTTATCAAACTAATCGACCAAAAACTGACACAAATAAAAGGAAGAGGATAACGATGCAATAACGAGAACTCTACCATTGTTACTTATTTACAAAATAAATATATACCCATGGAAAGCGATTTAACTAAACGTCGTCCTTCAATAATACCAGGTTCTTTACCTGGTTTACCGGTTGGGTGGTCACCATCAATAGATACTGTTGAAGAAGATGTAAGTGATGAAGAAAATGAAGTATCAAAAACTTATTCATCAACATCAATTTCTTCTTTACCATCAATAACAAATTATGAAGTAAAACCGTATTTTACAATAAAAAAATTTCAATATGAAAATCCAGCATCAGGTCAAACAACAACAATGTCCATGGCGCATACATATGGTATATGTACATTAAATACAGAAGCTGAAGAAATCATAGCTTGTGATCATTATAATAATCGTTTAATTATGTTTGATTCAAATACTGATGGACGTGCATTACACATATATCGTGGTGATTTCCCAACACCAGAATGTGTTGCACCACGACCACATCATAAACAACATATTTATGTAACAAAAGCTCATTCAGTATGTTTATATGATTTAGAAAAGAAAAAAATTATACAAAAATTAGGTGCTGAAGAAAGTGGTCATGCGAATAATCGATTTAATCTACCGCGTGGTATTACTGTCGATCCAACGAACGGGTACATTATTATTTATTTAGATATATTTTGTTTCTATAAATATATATATATCTATATACATATATAAATATTTATTTATCTTTAGAGAAATTTATATGTGTGACACATGGAATCATCGAATATGTGTTTTTTCATCCGATTTTCGTTTTGTTAATCGTCGTTGGTATTTAACACGATGGGAACAAACACAAAAAAAAGTAAAACCAAGTTTTGTAGCTATTAATGCAAACAATCAATGTGTTGTTACATGTGAAGATGTACCAAATTATCGTGGAGCTGTTTATGTATTTGATAAAATGGGTTATATACAAAAAATTTATGATCATGATTCACGTAATAAACCACCAAATGCTGAAGCTAAATTAAATGTTCCACATGGAATATTACTTGATGATGATGGTAATTGGTTAACTGTTTGTTATTCAGATCCTGAAATACGTTCAGTTGAAAGACGAGCAAATATTCAAAATGATGAAGATAATGAAATAATCAATTATTGGCGTTGTAAAGAATTAAAAGGTCCTAGTGGTTTAGCAATGAAGCGTGATCAAACATTAATTATTGGTGATCGAGATAACAATTCTCTATGCTTTTTTAAACAACGAGAAGCATCAAAAACAGAAGCAACAAAATAATATGAATTAAAAAGAGCAAAAATAAAAAATACTCTTAGATTTACGCATATGTTTATAACACATGCTTAATTTTATTCTAAATACTTCGTAGATTTTAATTTGTCGCTTTGCACTTTTTTTTTCTTTTTTTGTTTTTTTTTACTTTTTCTATAACTTACTCGTTTACACGCAATTAATATATCGAGCCGTTTCTTTGATGATGATGTTTGTTGATGTTGCAGTTCTGTATTAAATTGATTTTTATATTGACTATGAAAAATTTTAAGACCATTTAATATGATTGATAGTGTAACACGATTTGGACGATTAAAAATTTTTGTAGACCAACGTATCTTTAACAAAAACAAAAAAATAAATAATTAAAAAAAACTACTATATATAGAATTCTTTTTTGTTTTTGTACCTCATCTTGCCAAACATTCAATAAATAATCATAAATAGCAATAAAAATTGATTCATGTTCGCCATTGGTACCATCAATTATTTCTCTAATACGTCCATCAAGACGAGTCTAAAATAGAAAATAAGAATTTGCATATGTTTTGATTGTTGTTCTCGGTTAAAATACGAAATGAATAATTAAAAATATGTTAGTCTAGAGACAAAAAGAAAAATTTATTACTTTGACAGATGTTACATATAAATCTTCTAATTGTTCTGCACGATCCATTGATTGAAATACTTGTGCAAATGATCGAGCCATTTCTATAGATAATTTTTATGTACAATATTGAACAGTTTTTGTTTTAAAAAGATTTTATTTTAAGTATGCCTTTCTCATTAAATTAACTTTCTTGAGATATGATTTATGCCAAATTAATAGTTAGCATTTCAGGTCATCATGACTGACGATGGAACATCTTCAGAGACTCAATTACCTTTTTTTTTGGTGCCTCGTTTTTGCCTATAAATATTGCATAATGTTATAATAAAAACTCTAAAAGGATTTGGATTTGTATTGATATTTGACTACGCTATCAAACTTTTAAAATATTTATTTTTTAGAGGCCTTAGGTTTTCGGAAAATTTGTATGTTGAATTTTGATGAGAAATTTTCTGCACATAGACAACTGAACTAGACTGACTTTCTTATGAAAATTAGAAATTTTGAATAAAGTCTCTCCGAGATATGAAATTTTTAAGATATAAATCTTTTTTCTGAGATAGTGTGTGCAACATAAATTTTTTTTTTTATGAGCATTAGTCTATTTGATTTGTCTAAGTGCAGCTAGTTTCATAGCAAAATTCGAAAATATAAATTTTTCGAAAACATGGGACTCTAGAAAATAGACATATTAGAAATTAAATAGTTTAGCCAAATTTCAATAAGATCCCATATTCATTTCAGCAGTGTTCAGACTTCCGAAAAGGGAAATTTCGGAAGTTTTGGAAATTTCAAACACTTGTGTTCTAAATTGTGTGATACTTCTCAAAATTATATAATTTCCGAAATTTCTGAAATTTCCAAAATTCTATACATAGCGAAATCTCCGAAATTACAGAAAATTCTAAAATTTCTAAACTTTCCAATATTTCCAAAATATTCTCATTTGCTTTGCTATGTAGTTATCGAGTTGATGGAAGCTTCGGAAATTTCTGTAATTTCCTTTTTCGGAAATCTGAACATACCTCATTCATTTAGTGTTTTTACTAGAATATTACATAGTATCTCTAGACAAAAATCATTGAAATTGGAAGGGAACTTCTAAAGACTTTCACTCATGAGTGGCTACACTTTTCGGATCACTCGTCCAGTAGCATGCTGACTTAGTTGTAATATACAGTTGCCCACGTGATTTGACATTGTATACAAGGAGGTTAAGCGATCGGGTGCAAAGAACACTGTGTCAAGTCTGTCTTCTGCCTCGAACTACAGTTGGTATCAGTTGCAGCTAAGATATCAACCTAATGAGTGTGCTGCTAATCAGCACTCTAGCTGACAGACAGAAGTATTCTTCGTTTCCAGCGTTTATATTATATCCAAAGAAAATTTTCTCTCTAAATGTTGAGTTATCGTGAAATTAAATATATAACAATCTAAAGTAGTGCATAGTTGCTGGACGACCTTTTAGAGTAAGTTATTATTGTGTTTCCATAATTGTTCAAAAGACAGAAAATTATATAAATCGAAACAATAAAGCACGAGCTATATTCTAATAACTAGAGCTTTCTAAAAAAGCAATATGTTTATGAAGTGCAATGCTGATTGTATGACAGACTTCATGTGAATTCTTCATCATTTTTATATAATGATTATCTTTTTTTCTCAATATCATACTGAAGAGTGTCTAATGCTGCAAATTTTTCAGAACATAATCTTCCAAAATCGAAAAATTGTTTTGTTTTGAGAAACTTTAAATCATCTGCTATGATGTACATCGTCAATCACTCTTTCGAATTTAATATTTTGAAAGAAAAATTACTCATTATATAAAAATGATAAAGAATTCATCTGAACCTTATCATAAAAGAAGTATGTCTATTCATAAATATTTTGTTTTTAGAAAATAATAACTAAAATTAAAAGATTGCCGAAAGAAAATAAACTACTTAAGATTGTTATATATCAATAGTCAATTTTATGAGAGAGAGATTGATACTTAAAACAAAATCATCCAAAAAAAAAAACTGTTATTCAGTTTTGTAAAATTAAAAAAAAAGCATGAATAATAATTATATATGTAAATATCCATACCAACATCTTGTCTATTAAAAGCAGCTACTACTGTTGGACTCATCAATGCTTCAAGACGATTTTTTAATGTTTCTAATCGCTTAACACGATCAGCATAATCAGGAACATCAGTAAGAATTTTCAATGATTGTTGCATAGCTATTAATTTTGTTGCTATCTAAAGAATTAGAATAAATAAAAACAATAAAGTATATTTTTCAATTGCTCATTCAAAGTAGGACTACTCGTTTTCAATGTTGAAAAATTTTCATTTTTCTCTAATCTTTTCTTGTCCTTGTCGTTCACTGACTACCGAAAGAAAAAAAAAGAGCCTAAAATCTGTCTCCAAAAATTCAGTCAACTTTAACAAAAAAAAAGAATCTTCTAATCAGCTTATAGTCAGAAATTGATTTCATACTTGTACAGTATCTTTCGAGTCAAATGTATCTTCAATTTGAGCTGATAGTGTAACCCAATTATCTGCTTCTTGTAATGCTTTTGATGCTGATTGAATACGATTTTTAACTAAATCAAGTTGGATTAAATTTCGCATTCCATCAGCTGTATCTTGATTAACTTTTTGAATATCACCTCGTACTGTACGCATTTGTTCTTGTAATAACGTTGCTTCATGTCTAAGAACATCAATTTCACGAAGAACTCTATGATAAAAATTCAAAAAAAGAAAAAGAAACATTTATTTTTTTTGTCAGTAAAATTAAGTACAATTGTGTATATTAACCGAGGAAATTGTTGAATAGCTTGTTGACTTGTGTCTTCAATAGAATTATTCATTTCTTGAATATACATTTGTAATTTTGTTATTAATGTTCCTGTATAATTATCAATATTTTGATTCGATTCTTTTTGTAATCGAAATGCTTGATTAAGCCAGTCAGTAACATTGAATTCATCATCGAAAAATTTCGAGAAATCCTAAACATAAGAATTTGCTTTTTAGATGATATGATAGACTATGAAATATTATAAAAATTTACCATTAAAAAACCTATTTAAAAAAAAAGTTTAGACAAGTGACACGATTCAATTTTATATGTAAAGAACAGAACAGAACATTTATATTCTTAGTGGAGATTTATCTAACCAATCAAATGATAAAATTTTTTTGAACTGTGGAGGACAATGGTATTCAATGTAGTACCGCGTAATCAGTCAAATTTCAAGTATCATATAGAAATAGATTAGATTTTTCAATTAAAATCATTCGCATCTCTTTATACGTGAGTTATTGGTAAAATTCTTGAAATACAATGAGACTTACGATTTTAAGACGATGCTCTATTATGAAATTTAAACTATCCAGAAGGATAAATCGAACAATCGAATCGTATTAGGTAGAATCCTGTAGAAATATTGTCGGAAATCGCATAAAGTCATTACATGTAATACTCTAGTATTGGGATCAAATACTAATTATATAAATAGTAATTAGATGCGTACTAATTGGATGAATAGAGATCAAAAAGTGATCTCTAAGCGTCGACTTCACACGTCGAACTCACTTTTTTTTCGTGACATCTCTGTGTAACTTATTCTTAACATGTAAATAAAGTGACATCCTTTATATAGACGTAGCTGTTCATGCATATCTCATTCGCAGATGTCCATTTAATCCATCCATGCACATAACTCCTTCGTCTGGATAGAGTTGAACTTGGAACTCTTAGAAAGAGAATAAAGATCTAGAAGTCTCGAAAAATATCACAATTCGAGTATTTTTTTTCTTTTTTTGACATCACAATTTTATTGATCCCATTAGGGTTACCAATTAACAATTATAATAGAAAAAGTAAATTACATTAAATAAGTTGATCGCACCTCTTATTTGACATCTTAGCTCTTTTAAGAGAAGAAAAGAAAGAAAGAGAAAAAATAAAAAAATACCAGAGGAAAGAGAAATTTTTATGTGATATATTTATAACTGAAACTTTCAATAAAGTAAAGTGACTTTTTGAAGTAATCGTTTTGATTTTCATGTACGCAAAAGAACGAGAAAACGTCCAAATTCGTATGATATGCCCTCTGTGTATAACGATTCATAAAAAAGTTGTTTTTCCTTAGTCCCATAGACCTGTAGAAACTTCTGTCGGATGATTTACTAATCAAATAAGCTTCCCAAATCTCCCTATATTCGCTTCCTTCTGAGGACTCATTTAGATGTTTTATAAACTTTTTCCAGTAGTCATACACATAGTCGAGAAGCGATTTTTCCGGGCAAGAACCAATGTAACATAGTCATTCCATCCCCATAGATTATATATATCAAACGGATACCGGTACAATAAAAATGCTCAATTTCTTGTTTTTGATTTTCTGTAAAAATGAACCAAGTTACAAATAACCAAAAAAAATGAGGTAATGCAAATGCACAAAAAAGTCTTTTTCTAATATCATATATTGTTCAACAGGAATTGTTCGAAACATATTTCTCAATGCAGTATATATATTCCGAATTATAGATAACCTCGTTTTAATGAAAGGTTCCCATCCTATTTTAGTGCGTATTTCAATACCTAAATATTTAAATAATGAAACTATTTCTACTCTTTCATTTTCGAAAAAACCTTATGGATGTGATGGTGCAACAACATTATGAATTAGCATCATTTTTGTTTTTTTAACATTTACTGGAAGCAACAGATCTTTCGAGAATTTTTCTAGTATTGTCATAGCTATTTCTGCCTGTTTTTCGAGATCCATTATATTTTTTGATAATTTATTTTCAATTAAACGTTTTATTACTAATGCGAGATCATCTGTGAACAAATGTGAGGAAAAACGAGCAAGTATTTTAGCTATAAAGTGGATATGTAGACGAAATAGTGTTGTTGATAAAGCTGAACCTTGAAGTGCTTCTGAAAAAATTTCGATCGTTTTAGATATAGTCTTCGTGATGAATTGTCATTGTTCTCCCTTGTAACCATTCATATATCCAACGGACAAGAGGTAAAGGCAAGTCTAGCTCAATAAGATTCGAAATAAGTGCTGGATAATAAAGTCTATCAAATTCTGAGAGAAAATCAATGAATATGACAAGTGCAGGTCTGTTACATGCTGCTGTTGTTAGACGTATATCCTCACATAAAGTTAAAATTCTGATTTGTAATCTGCGATGAGACGTAAATCCAGATTGTTCATCTACAAAAATATTTTTTTCTATGTACCACTTTAATATTTGATCGTGTATACAACGTTCGTACCATTTTCCTATATTCGATAGTAAAGAAATAGGGCGAAGTTTATTTTCTTCTGGATATAGACCGTCTTTGAACAGACAGACAACTTTTGTATGTTTACTGTCATGAAAAACCTCTCCTTTTAATGCGCACTTATTAAAAAGAACCGTAAAAATATGTAGGTATTCAATTGGAATATTTTTCAGTAAGTATGCAGATGTTTTCATGCTATCTAAGGATTTCTTTGGAGAAAAATTTTTCCAATTCGTGTATACTTGTGTGTGTATGAGCTAGGGTCAAGTGGCATGTTAGGCATATATGCAACATTTTCATATGATATGAGAAATTGTTTATGTATTTCATTAGATTTATCTGGTACTGGAAGAGCAAAATGTTGTTCAAAGAAAATACCTAATTTATCACTTATTTTTTGGCAATCTCTTTCAATTTTTCTATTTAGTGTTAGTCCTTGAAAAGCTGGTGTATATGAATGAAAGAAAGGACGAGCCTATTGCCATATATTTAGACCCCTCGATATAAATTTGTTTTGTTTTTCTCTCTTTTCATGTTCGAAATTTGCCCTCTCAATTTGATATATATGTTTCGCAGCGATGTACTTATGTAGGTGGCAGATAAAGCGTGTTCTTCTATATTTTTTTTGTTTTTCGATTTACTTCTTTCGCTAACAATACTAGAAAGCGTGGCCATGGTGATCGATACTGCGTGACCTGTAAATATGTACTTGTTCTATCCAACAGAGAAGTACGGAAGTTAGAAAAAAGAGAGAAAAAAGATTCCTCGTTTATATCATATACAGAAGCATTCCAATATGTAAATAAACACGAGAGAATAAAAGAAAAAATTTCCAGTTTATTTTATGAAAGAAACCTTTTGCAGATAGAGTAAATGGCATAGCAAAAATGATGGGAAAATGATCTGATGTTCCTTCATGAATCACATCACACGTCCAACCTGATTTATCTTGGGTAATCGCAAAATCAATAATAGCATTGGATCTTTTAGAAGTTGATGTAGTAGGGAAAATATTTACGTATCCATTTTTTTTCCATCCATTCATTTAGTACAATTCCACTACTACTATTAGTTGGGCATAACTACTGAGAATGGTTAGCATTAAAATCATCGAATATATAAAATTTTTTATCAAGAAATTTTCAAATTCTTCAAAGGGAAGTTTAGCCTTTGGGGGTACGTATACTGCTGCAATTAGGATGGAGGACATTGCTACTCTTAGTTCAACAAGAATAAAGTTTTCAACTGCGTGTATGACTTTTGTGTTAATGGAACTATGTATCAATATCATAACACCACCAAATGAATTCGATCCTATTTGTTTATGCCAATAATAGTTAGACACAGAGGGCATTTTACGAATTGGAGATCCAATACTTGTAAGAATAACAACATGCGGTAAATAAGAGGAGAGTAAAATATCAAGATCGTTTAGATGCGTACTGAGACTAGGGGTCTGCGGTTCCACAAAACCTGGCACCGAAAACCGAACCGGTACCGGTTTTTCTTTGAATTTCAAAACCGGAACCGGGAACCGTTGTTTGGGTGTATGTGGATGGAGATGAATATGAATCTCTTCTTGGCAACACACGCACAGCCACTGTCACATCCAGCCACATCCTCAAGATATTTATTGATATAATTTGGTCACCATTTATTGACAGTTTTTTTAGTCATTGAACTTGTGATGTCTTTTTCGCGCTAAAAATGGGAGAATTTCAAACAAAAGGATGATGTCATGCTCTACATCTTGACATACACTTTCAAACAAAAGGATACAAATACATTGAACGAACCATTACAGAGAAATTTGGATTGCCAAATTAGGTGTTTTAGGGTCTTGCTTGGTCAATATCTCCTTTAAATGAAACGACTTAGGGCTGAAAATTTTATCATAGATGCTCCTTGGTAGCCCAACATATCCTTCAAGCTTCAGCTCGTTCCAACGTTCCTGAGCTGAGTTCGATTTTTGAGGACGCGTTAAAGTAGCTAAACAAATGAATGTTATTTTCTATGATGAAGATAGTAAAGATAAAGAAAAGGACGAAAAAGAGTTTTTGTTTAATTTTTTTGTATTTGAATAAGTACAACAGTTTGCAAAAGAAATTGAAACAGTCTTACTCTATAAACATGTAATACTTTCTAAATTCTCTCGAGTCTTTGTTTTGCAATTAGTGCAGGTTTATACTAAGCAGATCGGCTGCGAATAATATTTATATATTTGATCAAATTCTATTTTATGCTGGTATGACACTAAACTAAGATAACAAAGATACCCAGTCTCTAATCATATCACATGTCTGCATTAAATAATTAGAACATAAAAATCTGCTCTGTCAGAAAACTCCATCGATACAGAGATACCAATATATATAGAATTAATTCCTGATCTGAAAAGTTTACAACTAAAAGTTTTTCTAAAATCACGAGCAGTCAACGATTGGAAACCAGCTATTGATTCCAAAGGAAGCCAAAAAAGTAGGTCAATGTTTTTGACGAAATAATTAAATCATATTGAAAGAATCGCTAGAATACTGACGTGAAAAGTTTCGTTTTATTGTTTCGACTAGCACATTCCCACGCTAGTCACAGTGTCTCCAATATTAATGTTAAAAGAATAGTAATCAATTTTATTAATAGCCTAAATCTCAGATGTCTCTGAGTTATGGAACCAAAAGGAAAACGAATCATATATTGAATCAGATATTCTAAAACTGTCAACTGACATTATTTAAATAGAGAAATATTTTTCTTGAAAGAAGTTGAAATAGTCCCTGATACAAGCTAAGCATCTGTTCCAAACTTTTCTGCAAACCTTTGCATATGTTGAACAATTACATTTTAAAAAGTTTTATTGTTTTATTTTCTATTTTATGTTTTGAACGCAATGTTGTCTCAATAAACTGCAAATATTGTTACTTTAGAATACTAACTGCAAGAATTACGGAAACCAAAATCTTAAATGTTTTACACATCTGGTAATTTACCGGTTCCCCGGTTCCTTAAAATATTTTTGGAACCGAACCGGAACCGTTTTTTTTCAAACTTGGGAACCGGAACCGCGGTTCCGGTTCTCGGTTCTTTTTTGGAACCGCAGACCCCTAACTGAGACATTCACAATTGTATAAGAGTGTGAGAAGATTTTCTGATTCATTTTTAGGTCTGATTTTTTTCCCACGACATACATAAATCAGGTATAGAGAGTCGATTATCCCATTCGTTTAGAATATTAAACACTAACTTTTTCTCATCTTTCGAGCCTACAAACTGGTCTACTAAAGAAAAACAAACATTGTTCAGTTTATTTGTATTGAATTGTTTATCCATTTATTGTTGGTAAGAACGAATCCAAGACCGTTTCGAATACTGTTGATTGTTTGTTCATCATAAGAGTCAAATTATATTCTGGTTTAGCATATGAATCATTTAGATTTTTAGTATGATTTCATATAGAATTAATCAATATCTGAGCCATTTCTATTTTATTTCGATCTAATTCATTGGAACATTTTGTTTTTACAATTTCATTTATTTCGATTATTGAAGATATTAATTGATTCGTTGCTGCTACATTATCCTTGATCATTGCCAACATGAATATTAGACATTGATTTTGTGCTTGGATCTGTTGTTGCATCATTAACCATCCTTGACGAATCGATTTTACTTGATTTTCATAACAATTTTTGATTTTTTTTCACATTCCATATCGAAGTTTTTCTTTATTTCCATTAGTTCACTAGCAAATGATTTTATTGTTTGATCAATATCATTGTTGTTCGATGTTTCCTGGTTAGCATATTTTCTTGTTGTTCATGGATTAATAACTGCTGAATTCGACGGAACCGAGTTTCGTACTTCAGATACATTTCGAGAAATTAGAAAACGATCACGATCAACATTTGTACGACAATCAACTGGAATAAACAATTTAATGTTTGGTGGTAATTTATTTCGATCATGTTTTAGTCGAGTAAGAAGATCTTGACGAAATTTAATAATTATAGGACATTTATAGTCTGTTGCCATGTGTTGACCACCGCAATGGTGACATTTGAGAAGGCATACATTAGTGGCGGAACCAGAAAAAATCCTAGGGAGAGCTGAACTCCTTTTAAGACCCCTCTAGGGGGAGCTTACATATGCATTGACAGCAATTTCAAAATTTTCTAGGGGGAGCCTCAAACGTTTGTAGGGAGAGCTGAGCTCCCTCTAGACCACTCCTGGTTCCGCCACTAATATACATCATGCTTGTTTCCATCATCTCTTTTTTCACCACATCTTCGACAAATTTCAATTGTCGATTGACATGCTTTTCTCCCATGACCCGGTATGTTACACCGAGAACAGATGAGTATTTTTGGAGGTGCTAGATATTCTTCAATTTCAAATATTTGTCCTTGCAGCCCAATTTTACCATCACTTGTCATTTTAATACATTTATCTCTTTTATAGAGTTCAACTCTAATGTGACGACTATTAGACCTCATCGTACCTATCATATCTTCAACTGTACATATCGATGAATATAAATTTTTCAGTTCATCCGTAATTTCATCTTTATGTATTTCGTTGGGTACAAATTTAATTACAACTGTATTATGAGGTGAAAGTCGTTTTATTGGTTCAGGCTTTAGTTTAATATTATCAGTTTATGATGGGTAATGTTTGATGTCACATAGATAAATATAAAGATCAGAATCATTTCTCACATCATATAGCGTTTTACCATCTGTACTGGTCTATCAGTGGTGAAAGCCTAAAGGTTGCTGATTTCCAGGACATTTGTTTCGAAAATCTTTATTAATATATTTAAAAAAAATCATTACAAATTTTTTAGCATGTTCACAATTTTCGAGTAGTGGAATACATTCAATTTTTAATGTTGAAAGATTATTTTCTACTGCATAAGTTAAAGCTTCATTTGATATATTCAATTGTCTTGGTTGTTCATTATTGTTACCATAAGTTGCTGTTGTTTGTTGTTGCATAGATCTTTTATTGATATCATGATTTTTGTTAATAAGAATTGTATCACTATTTGTTTTTGTTTTTTTTCTTTTCGTGTGGTGTCATTTGTTGCCAATTTTCACCTTCAATGTCGGTCATATTTGAATCATCATCCTCCGATGGTGGTGATCGTTTCTCTCCGGTGTTGTTCGTTTTTTCATGTAATTGTTTCGTAAGTTGTTCGACAGTGTTGTGGCTGACCATTTATTCTTTATGATCAGTAAAACTTTTTGATGTTTTCTTCATTTTGTATAATAAGGTGAACTAATCAGTCTTAATGAGTTTTAAACTATTAACAGGATCATGTGCACAAATACGTGACTGAGTGTAATTGTAAATGTTGAAAGGAAAAGATTGTATATACTACGTTCGATCGCTATGAATCCAGAAAGAGGAAATGATATCACAATTCGAGTATTGGATTTAACCGTTGAACATATATATCGGAACTGTTAGGGTCCGATAGGATTTATTTATCCATGTCATTCGGTACGTGTGCAGCAGTGTTCGACATGGGTCACTTTTTTAGTGACCCGACCCGACCCGAGTTTTTTTTCTGACCCGATCCGACTCGACCCGACCAAACCGTAACCCGACCCGACCCGACCCGAGGGTAAGAATTTTTTCAAGATCCGACCCGATCCGACCCGAGGATAAGAATTTTTTCAAAACATGACCCGATCCGAAGGCAATTTTTTCCTATATGTACATATCGGTTGTGCTTAAAATTGTTTTTTTTCTTTCGCCTATCATGCATATATACATATATCAGTCGATCGCTTTTCTTTCTTTTGAGCAATTCAATTTGGCAGTTCCTTTGTTTTTATTTTATTGCGCATTTAAAAAAATAAGGACATGTCCTTGATCTTTTCTCGGTTTTTATGTATCATTGATATTGCATAGTTAGGGCAACAAAATCATCTGATAATACTTCAACGTTTTTCTGCATCCATTTATATCATGTACAGGATTTGAGACTATTACATCTCTAGATAAAATATTATATACTTACTATAAATGCTGTTAAGATATCAATGGATGGAAAATGATGAAATAACACAAAAGATGACATCATACATGCTGCTTTGTTATATCGAATTGTTTGTTGTGAGATCACAGAACTTATGAACAAAAAACTAACATAATTTTTGTTTCTGAAAAATACATATCTGACCCGACCCGACCCGACCCGAGCTTCTGCTGACCCGGCCCGAGTCGAACACTGGTGTGCAGAATAAACACATCATCAATATTTCTATACGCAAAGGCAACAGAAAAAAATTTAGTGGATAATAATAAGCACACCATTATTAAAATAGATATCTGTTTTAATAATGGTGTGCTTATTATCCACTAAATTTTTTTTTCTGTTCTGTTTTTGTGTATAGAAATATTGATGATGTGCTTACTCTGCACACGCACCAATCATTGAATCACTTGTCATCATTTTTATCATTTTCTTGTCTTTTTTTATTATGCTTATAATAATAAGAAAATGACGAAGTTAGCTGATTGAGTGAATCAATACCTGGTATTCTTGTTGTTGGATTGTAATGAAAGAAAAATGCAATATAACTTTAGTTTTACATTAAATCTGAAATTTTTGACCTTTATTTTATATATGATTATTATTAGCAACGGTAACAACATCAATGAAACTTTAGAAAAAAAATATATAAAAAAAAATGGCGACCAACAAAAACTTAATCCTGTTATACTTTTAATCATAACTAAATGTTTATCCAATAATGCTAATAAAAGTCGAAAATTTCTGATTAAATGTAAAAACAAAATTTAGGATGCATGATCCTTATTTGTATTGGAGCATTTGCTTTCATTCTTTTTGAACTCAATAATTCTCGCTATACAATTAATAAGATACAAAAGAGATCTGCATGTCAATCATATATTATGAATATTATCAGTGTAATTCCATTATTTATTTGCAAATTGACTTTGATTTAATAGTTGTTAAAAATATAATCATCATATTAATAAATTTAATAGTTCTTTTTCAGCTTAAGAAAAAACAACTTAGCTAAACTTTAGTTAATACAGAATTCGGTAAATTTCACTATCCATTTCTATGCAGCAACATTGTGCGACAATAAACATTTTATTGTGTCAACAGAAATATGATCTGTACAGTATCATCATTTGTGATTAGTAACACAGGTAGAATATAAATACAAACTGCAATGAGTCATCAGTGTTTGTAATTATGATAAGTATGTATTTTTAAAGAAACAAAAATAGAAATGAATCAGAGACATGACTATTCATATTCGATTTACGTTATATATCTCCAGAATGAATTAGTAATACTATTCAACATAAATAATTCGTAAAAGCATGAACAAAACAACTCAGATAGGTCAAACAAAGTCATGTTTCACAATATTACCTCAAAAACATATGAATAATTGTAACGTATGTAAATGCATTCGAGGTAGTAAGATACTTCTTTTCTTTTATACTTTTAATTAGTCAAGGTTATTACTTTTTTTTATATTTAGACTGTCATGCATACATACGTAATTGATGCTTATTCTTGCCATTATAAATAGACCAACAAACTCAATCATTACTCTGTATTTATCTATTTGATGTCAACAAATCACGATCAAATGACAACAACAACTGTTCGTTTTTATGATTCAACATTTTATTCAATTGCTGTAACTTCAATAATTTATTTAATATTTCAAATATATTCAATAAATCCACATAAATATCGTCTTATTTTATTAATATCATTTTTATGTACATGTCTTAGTTCTGAAATATTCTTTCATATATTTCAACCAAATTCATTAATAAATTTATTGAATTTAAATATAATAAATTATTTTTCACCAATAGCTATTCATTTCATATTATTATTATCAATATCATCATTTTTATGGAATGCAACACAATGTATTGCGTTAGCATCAATACTTCTTCCATTAAATTTCGCTAATCAACAACAATCTCCTAATTGGATTTTACGTCGTTGGATTCGACATATTTGTGTTGATCATGTTTTTGCTCTATTAATTGTTCGCCTAGGTCGTTTAAGTGATATTATAACTGTTACTACATTAAGTAATATGGCAAGTAGTTATATTATTGCAAGTTGGTGTTCACAAATAGCTGTTTTTCCATGTATACTTTGTTTTCTTCATTCATTTTTTATAAATACAACAATAATCGATGAAGAAGATTTACGAAAAATATATTCAACAATAAATACTGATGAATTTAATTCAATTTTACATCGGTTTAAAATTATTAAAATGTTAGGTTTAGCTTTATTTGGTTTAAAAATTTCAGCATTATCTATTTGTGAAACATTAGCATTAGGATTAGTACTGATGATTTGTGTATCATGTCTTGTTGTTGCACCAACCGGACGTGAAACATTAAAATATACACGAATATTTGATATATTTATTGGTAAAATATTTGATGAAAATAAAGATAAAATATTGATTATTAATGAACAATCAGCAATTATACAAAAGCCTGTTGTATCAAAAACTGATGGTACAAAAGATTATTGTGTAGCTATTCTGTTAATAGTTTCTAATTTTAGGTTCTTCTCTATTTAAAGCTCATAATCGTATTCATCAACAAGAAACAACTCAATCAAGTTGTTCGATTTCATCATCATTATTGTCATTACCAGCAGTCGATTCTAAAGCATTAGATACAACAACGACTATTAATTATTCTCTTTTAAGTGATGAAGAAATTTTATCATTAGTTAAAACAAAAAAATTATCTGTATATAATCTTGAAAAATATTTACCATCATTAAAAGCAGTATATATACGTCGTTTAGTATTAAATGAACAAATAATTTCAACAAAAAATTCTTCATTTTCACTTGATTTATTACCATATGAACATTATGATTATTCATTAGTTACAAATCAATGTTGTGAAAATGTTATTGGATATGTGCAATTACCAGTTGGATATGCTGGTCCATTATGTGTTGATAATAAATTTTTTTATATACCAATGGCCACTACGGAAGGTAAAAAAGGAGATTATTTTCTTGTTATTTGAAGTTTTGTTCAAATGGTTTCAACTTATCTATTACTTTTTTCACTAAAGCTATTAGTTTATCGACCATACACTGATGTCGAATATGAACACGAGAAATCTCTTTAGGTTTGCAGGTGCTGGTTTTCTAGAAAATCAATTTCTCGACATTAACAAACTTTTGATCAGACATGATTTTTATTTATCTAGATTATAGACGACCATATCGAATTATTATTTTTGCTCTAAAAATTTAATCGATTAATCTATCCGATTTTTTTTTATGAATAAACATGTAAAAATCTTCTTTTTTTAGGTGCACTTGTTGCTAGTACAAATCGAGGATGTAAAGCTATAACGATGTCAAAAACTGGTATTAAAACAATCGTTTTTAATGATGGTATGACACGTGGTCCTGTACTTAAATTTGTTACAATTCGACAAGCCTATGATGCTTATAAATGGTTTCAAACAAATTTCAATGAAATAAAACAATGTTTTGATCAAACAAGTTCATATATAAATTTAACAAGTATTAAACGAAATTTGGCTGCACATTATTTATTTATTCGTTTTGTTGCAACAACTGGTGATGCTATGGGTATGAATATGTTATCAAAAGGTGTTGACGCTGTATTAAAACTTATTAAATCAAAATGGCCTGAAGCAGTTGATATAATTAGTATTAGTGGAAATTATTGTATTGGTAATTAAAAAATTTTCATTTAGACTACCTTATATAAAACATGATCTAAGCAAAGTATTGCAATATAGAAGTAAAAATTCAGACCACTTTCTACTACGAGCCGTGACCGATTTTAGTTAGAGATTATCACACGTAGTTTTCTGTTCTGTCCCATTTGATAATTTCTCAGTACGGTCCTAATATTATAGATTTTAATGATTCATCATTGTATTTAATATCGAAGAGAATAACAAGATAAATCCATAAGTTCTGAGCATTTATAAGACATAGGCGCGTTATAAATAATGAAAAAAATTAAAATGTTTTCACGTATTTTACCATATTGTAGTTTTAAGGGTACCTTTTGATAGTGAAGTACGAAGGCATTACGATATGTAGTTATGAATTGCATGTAGCATGCTGTTTGATCTGTTCGATCAATGACCATTTGAGAATGAGTTATTTAAAAGACTAATCATGAACGAACTAAAATATCATCAAATGGAATCGAAATGAAATGAGATCGATTCGCATCGGATCGTGGACAAATTGATCATGACAGAGTGTGGCAAACGTTGATGTATGAGCACAGACTGTATATAGATAGCGTCTCGTTATAATATATGAACTACTTGTTTATTGTACTACTGTAAGATGAAGTAGAACGATGGTGAAGAAATGTGTATCGAATAATAATTAGAATAAAGTAATCTCTGTGTGCTTAAAAATAGCAGTTACATTGTCTTTCACGTTTTAATCATGTAAGAATTACACTAAAAGTCTTGTTCTTATTGCTTTAATTAAAGATAAAAAACCATCAGCTTTAAATTGGATTGATGGACGAGGAAAATCAGTTGTAGCTGAAGCTATTGTATCAAATGATATTCTTGAACAAGTACTGAAAACAGATGCTAATCGACTTGTTGAATTAAATCAATCGAAAAATTTACTTGGATCAATAATGGCTGGTTCCATTGGTGGATTCAATGCACATGCTGCGAATATAGTTGCTGTAAATTTTATTTTTATTTTTCTCATCAATCAGATCGAATCGGTTTTTTTTTCGTTATTAGGCAATGTTTATTGCATGTGGTCAAGATGCAGCACAAATTGTATCTAGTAGTAATTGTAAGTTGTTAATCTTTGGTTTTTGAAAAATTTGATTTACAAAATGAGTTTAGGTTTAACATGGCTTGAAGCAACTGGAACTGATAAACGTGATTTATATATATCCTGTACAATGTATTCACTTGAAGTTGGAACTATTGGTGGTGGAACAAAATTATTAGCTCAAAAAGCTTGTTTAAAAATGCTTGGTATTGATAATTCTCTAGCAAATATATCTGGTGAAAATTCTTGTCAACTTGCTCGTCTTATATGTTCAACAGTATTAGCAAGTGAATTATCATTATTGAGTGCATTAACAACTAATGATCTTGTTCAATCTCATTTACGACTTAATCGTGGTACAACATTTTCCAATCAAATTCAATAATATTTTTCTTTTTTGTAAATAAAAAAAAAAAAGTTAAAAGCAAAAGATAAAAGATGACAAAATATTTAATAATTAATAAAGAGCATTTTATGTGGTATATCGATCCTATAGAAAAAAAATGTTATGATAAGTAAAAAATTGATAACAGAGAACGTCATAGGACGATTTTCTTTGTCGTACTCTGCATTCTGCAGGATAAAGAGTTTCTCGGTACCCGATTTGTAGGATGACTTTTTAATTACTTTTTTGACAAGGATAGTAAACTTGTCGGTATATGAGGCATAATGTCAAATATTAAATGACCATCTATTGACATAAATTTTCCAGTGGAAATGAAATGAAAACCAGATAAAAAAAACACTTGACTTATATAAAATGAGCAAAACAATAAGAAAACAAACATAAAAATATAGGATTCAAAATGTAATCAATATAAACGGACGGATAACGAGAAATAATAGGTTTTCTCTTCACTGCTTTTACTTGAATTTCTCATCAGAACCCATAATCAATCTAGTAGAGCTAAATAATCTTTTCATCGTGGTGCTATTCACTCGTATGGCATGTACTACTCTGGCTGCTTTTGATAATAATAAAAAATCACCATGAGTCTTACTATTAAATCAGAGAGTTTCATAGCATCATGATCAATTAGATGACCTGTGTGTCCTGTGACGTTCTCCGATTGATAACTTACAATATCGACACTGCTTCAAAATTTTTACTGCAAGATTTTAATGACTGTTGTTCATTATATTGGTCTATGATGTTCGTTGTTGAATTATTTAAATAGGATTTTTCTTGTTGTTCGTTATTAATCGATGTTGATTTTATAATATGATTTATTAATGGCTTTTGTATATATTTCATAGGTAAACAACTAAAAGCTTGTTTACATTTCATTGGTTTAGTATCACATTGAATTGCTAAATTTGTTCGATGAGCAATTAATCGAACACATACATAACTTGTTGTGATTGTATAATTAGTATTATTTGAATTGAACTGTTGATATGTTAATTGACGAACAGTTATAATGGATGTATTTGGTTCAAGTATTAACATAGATAGTAGTTGATCTTCTTTTCGAATTGTATGAAGACTTTTTGTTTGATGAAGAATATGTGAAAATGAAGTTTGATATTTTTCATAAATATCATTTTTATGATCAAACAATTGAGAACAAGTTTGTTGATTTAAAATTGATAAATTTTCATTAGAAGATTTTGATATTAATGATTGATTTGACAATGTATCAGATAAAGTTTCATCATTGGAAGAGTCACATAAAGAAAAAGACGATTGACAAGATGAACAAGACTATATTTAAATATATATATTATGTCTTTTGTTTTCATTTTTTTTTCATAAATAAGACTAACCGGATAGAATACTAGTGAATTTGTATAATTGAAATGAGGATTATATGATGGAAAAATATTAACTTGATTATGATTATCAAAAGAAATCGGTTGATATGATGAAAATAAAAGATTTGTTTGATAGTGATTGGCAAAATCATCATGTATTTTAGTTGTTTTATTGTTGGTATTATTTATAGAATTTATTGTAATTGAGTTAGAAGATTCAGATGAATTTAATTGAGATACTTCAAATTGTTTTGTAACTGATAATTCTATTGAATTGAATATCTCTGATGATTGATTTATTGAAGAATCATTCATTGATTCTACTAATGGAGAAGTTTGTTTTTGTTGTTCTATGGATTTTATCATTGAATTATTTAAACCTTGAGATAATCTTTTTAAAACATATTCTTTTAATAAATTACGTTTTAATTGACTTATTTCTGATCGATTAGAATGATTTTGATTTTGATCATTTAATGTCTTTTTAATTTTTTTCTTTTCATCAATCATTAATTTATCTTCATCAACTTTAGCATCATTATAATAAACTATTTGTTGTTGTTGTAATAAATAATGATTATTATTATTATTATTATTATTATTAATATTTTGACGTTGACTAACAATAAGAAAAAGTAATGCACGACGAAAATATAACATCAATGCTTGACTTGTCCAAGCACGAAATGTTGGTGATTGCTGAATAAGTAACATAATTCGATTGGACTATATATTCAAATTATTATCGTAGTTATTCGATTAAGAAAAATAAGTATTTATGAAATAGTATTATACGAACGAAAAATTTCTTGTTTTTTTTTTTGCTAACTATTAATTCTATCTAGGTAACTATTCATATCGAAATTTATTCAACTTTTGGAAAAGAAAAACAAAAAGAAAAGAATATAATTTAGGAACAATAAAGATTTTTTAGAGTAAAATTACAAGCATGGACGAGTCTTAGTTCCAGAAGAAATTAATAGATTTCTACAAGAAAAAAAAAAAATTTAATTAATAGTTATAATTCATATCGATCTCTTCATAAGCTTACTAGAAAAAATGATGTATTTTCTCAAAGTGATCTTGTTGTAAGATCGCATTACTCAAATCTTTTACAAGGTCATAATTACATTTTAACATTGTTGAAATATAATAGTACATCAATTTAGTTGCTAATAAATATTTTGTGAAACATGATTTGTAAAGAATGTTGAAGTATATAGGATAGAAATTTGGATCCACTCCTTCTCTACAAATCGTGACAGACACCTTGAGAATCTATCATAGATTGTGTATAAATAACGTCTCGTTATAATCAATAAACGATTTCCCTGTTGCATTTCTGCAGGATTAAGTAAATGGATGATGTAGAAATGTGTTCCATAATAGAAAGAATAAAACAACCTTCTGATGATTAGCAACCACAGCTGCGTTGCGTTTCACATTCTAATCCCACAGGGATTGAGTTAACAGTCTTTTGTTGGTAAACAAATTTGGATTTAAGTTTTTTCTTGAAGAAAAAAACAGATGTTTTTCTGGCTTATAGAGCTGTATGAAAAAGTAGAATTAATTTTCCTATAGTAAAACCCCTACTGGTAAACATCTATTTATAAATGATCTCTGGTCAGACGCAGTGATTTTGCTGGATATGTTTCTCTCTTTCTAATGTGAATACTCTTTTGTGGTTCCTCTTGTGTAATAGTATTTTAAATCTCTTTCTACTGTATATTATCTATTTTTCATGCACTATGAGTCAGTAGATTTTATGTATGAAAATAATTGATATGTGTAAAAATACACTTACGTACCATGAATAGTTCAATAAATACGAATGTCTTATCATATTACATACTAATGAATAGGATGATATGGACTAATGATGATTGAATATCCACAGAAAATTAAATTTTGTGTTGCTATTAAAAACTCATTCCATTCTAATCCTTTCGATGAAAATAGATGAACAAGAAAATAAATAAACATACTTGGATCTATGACTTATATAAAAGCAAATATCTCGAATCCCTTTCTTCATGTCACAGCAAACCATACGTCAAATTACTAAATTAAACATCTTCATATAGTGAACATTTCTTAATAGTCCTGATAGTGTTCACAGTACAAAAATTTTTACTGTACTTTAATTTTGTTGATAAGACTATTATCGTTGTGTTAATTTATTCTACGTAGGACTATTCTTATTTTGTTTCTTCGAGATAAAAAATTTGCTGTTAATATTCTTTATAACAATAATCAGAAAATCAAAATAACTCGATTTCTTCAGCTCTATAAGTGTTAATCAATGTCAACAATAGAATTTCTAATCATGTGTATCATTATGATGAAATGATACTATAAATTTTAAATTGGCAAGCATCAGTTTTCTTTTGTATTTATAATGAACAACATTAGTTTTTCGAAAAAAAAAGTCATTATGAATATGATAAATCATTAGGATTCGTTGATTTTCTTTAATGTATTTTTTATCATCATCATTAACACTAAATTTAATTATTTCATTATCTATATCAATTAATATTCGATGTTTGGTTTCCTGTCATGGTGAAATAAATATTCTGTTGAGTTAATGCATTAGTTACTGCTGATCTGTCAACACTGATTATTTATTGATTTAGAATAATAATCAAAGACATACTATATTTGAGTATAAAATTTCTAATTTACTATTCATAACAGGAATACAAAACTGTATATTTTATTTAAGAAAATAAACGACAAGCACCTGAATGAATTTATTTAGTATCATGACCTGTCCAAGCGTGACGAAATAACATTTTTTTTCACTTTATCTCTGGAATATATCAACAGATTGAATTCTAATAGGGTTGATTGTTTGAAAACATATATAAGTCGTGCTGCCCTACACAGCATAAAAGTTTCACTAGTTCTTGTCTTTCTTTTATATTTTTATGACTGAAATACATGTCCGTGACGGAATAATCAAAAATGGATTCTGGGTTTCAATGGTGTGTGAAGAACTAAAAATTTTAGATCATCTACAAGTGTAATTAAAAACTTTTGTATAGAAAAGTTGTAGCTAAGATGACGAGCTATACATAGAAAAAAAAACCAATTCAAAATATATGATAGCTTCGTCTCACATGTAGAAAAAATTGTCGTAATGGAATAACACTTTTAAAAATCGGCATATTTTCATCAACGTCTATTTCTACAGAAAGTTAATTGTAGTTTTCCTAAAATGAATAAATTGATAACATCTCTGAAAAAATAATTAAGAAAACGTCTCACATCATCCTTTTGATAACGTAAAAACTATATAATGAAAGCATGAATTTCGCATTTTTCTGACTTTGCCGAAATAGGTAGACCTTTACATGGACAGGTCGATCAAAATATATATATGCCTGGCTACTTCTTAATTGCGGACAAAATTTCAGCCCTCACCCACACTGTCGGCATGCTAATTGGTTTGGTTTTCGTCCGCAATCAAGAAGACACGATATGCCTATCGCATCATAAGCTATTTGATCATCATTTCTATAATTTCTTTTTCTTTCTATTGATGATCAATGAATCAGTCTAGTCATGTATTGATAATATATATTTGGAAAAACAAAGACTGAAGGTTTTTAGTTACACAATATTTGTCAATAGAAAAATGTGTTTAGAAGAAACTGGATGTGAACCTCGATCAAGAATAAACATGATAGTATATTATCCTTCGACATTGTTATTTCTTTTCTTGGATATTATTGCTTTTCCTTACATGTAGTTTCATCTATTTGAAGATATTAATGCTTCCCTATTCTTTTTCTTCTTCTTCTTCTTCTTTTGCTACATGTTGATAATAACGTCGAATAGTAGTATTATTTTCCCAAAATGAAGAATACGATCAATGCATGTATAACCGTTCCTATTCCATATGTTATTCTCTACGTCTGAAAATATCTGAAATACTACTGGTACAAATGTGTAGAATAAAGAAGTAGAAAGCAGTTACTATCTATATGTATGTTTTTTTTTTCTTTCGACCGCCCGTTGTCATAACGATATGTATTACCCGATTTGGTATCGACTGATGTGTATATCTAAGGAAAAAGCAAAAAAGCAAAGAAGAATACAGAAAAGAGGAAAAAACTATTTCGGTATACGTGTATATAGTCAAGAAGATATTGCGGTTGTCGTTCTTTTCACGGACAATCTCAGTAGAGGAGACATATACACATCCACATTATTATTATCATCTTAACCGTTTTTTATAAGAAATAATCATGTGTGACGAAGACGTTGCAGCAATTGTAATTGACAATGGATCAGGTAAAATATTATTTTAAAAAAAGAAAAAGAATATGAAAATTTATTGAAATAATTTTCTATTTCAAATAAATAGGTATGTGCAAAGCTGGCTTTGCTGGTGATGATGCTCCTCGATCAGTATTTCCATCTGTTGTTGGTCGACCACGTCATCAAGCCGTTATGGTTGGTATGGGTCAAAAAGATTCATATGTTGGTGATGAAGCTCAATCAAAACGTGGTATTTTAACACTCAAATATCCAATTGAACACGGTATTATTACAAACTGGGATGATATTGAAAAAATCTGGCATCATACTTTCTACAATGAACTTCGTGTTGCACCAGAAGAACACCCTGTTCTTCTTACTGAAGCTCCACTTAATCCAAAAGCTAACCGTGAAAAAATGACACAAATTATGTTTGAAACATTTAATTCACCAGGTAAATTGATTTGTGTTTTTTTTAATATTTAAAATATTATAATTGAATTTGTTTTATGTTTTCTTTTTTGTTTTGTCTAGCTATGTATGTTGCTATTCAAGCTGTACTTTCACTCTATGCTAGTGGTCGTACAACTGGTATTGTTCTTGATTCAGGTGATGGTGTTACCCATGATGTACCCATCTATGAAGGTTATGCTTTACCTCATGCCATTCTTCGTCTTGATTTGGCTGGTCGAGATTTAACTGATTATTTAATGAAAATCCTTACTGAACGTGGTTATTCATTTGTAACAACAGCTGAACGTGAAATTGTCCGAGATATCAAAGAAAAATTATGTTATGTTGCATTAGATTTTGAACAAGAAATGGCAACAGCTGCATCAACATCATCATTAGAAAAAAGCTATGAATTACCTGATGGTCAAGTTATTACCATTGGTAATGAACGTTTCCGTTGTCCAGAATCACTCTTTCAACCATCATTTTTGGTAAAATTCTTTTTGTTTTTATTTATTTATTTATTTTTAATTATTTCTGAATAATTACAGGGTATGGAAGTTGCTGGTATTCATGAAACAACATTCAATTCAATTATGAAATGCGATATTGATATTCGTAAAGATTTATATGCTAATACAGTCTTATCAGGAGGTAAATAATTGAAGACAAATAAAATGTCAATGAATATTTATTTATTTTTTCTATTACTAAAAATAATTCTAAATTAGGTACTTCAATGTATCCTGGTATTGCTGATCGTATGCAAAAAGAAATAACAGCTTTAGCACCATCAACAATGAAAATCAAAATTATTGCTCCACCTGAACGTAAATATTCCGTATGGATTGGTGGTTCAATTTTGGCTTCATTATCAACATTTCAACAAATGTGGATTTCAAAACAAGAATATGATGAAGCTGGTCCATCAATTGTTCATCGTAAATGTTTTTAAATCAGTACAATCAATGAACAATTTAATCAATCGAGCATAT